TCAATTTTCAGGCCTCTTCGGTATATCCTTGGCGGTGTATCTGATCGGAAAGTACTGTATATCGATGGTGATAACAGCTCTCTACGTCTACACGGCTGAACTCTACCCGACGAAGTACCGGCACAGCCTCTTCGCATTCTCTTCTATGATTGGCAGATTGGGATCCATTGCAGCGCCTTTGACTCCGGCCATGGTTTGTTAACAGGATATAATATCTCCAGTCATAATTTAATATATGAAACAACTGAAAAACTTGAACCTGAATATGCCATATAAGCTGTCGTATACACGAATAGTAAGAGCAAAGCTGTATACTTCGCTCTTAACATTAAAATTCGTCTACATTTATTGTATACTCATCGCTTTCTTCTTCAGGGTGCAGCAGTATGGGAACAGCTGCCGTTCGCGTTGTTCGCCGGCTTCGCCATAATCTCGGGCTGCCTCGTCCTCCTCACCCCGGAAACCCTCGGCACAAAGCTACCAGACACGATGGAGGAAGCGAACTCATTAGGCATTAAAAATAATTAGTTTTGTTATGACCTTTTTTATTTGCTCACATATTGAGTGCACGACGTGCTCCTACAATGTAATTGAAAAAAAAAAGGAATAAATCTGGCTAAGTTCTAGTTGGATTCGTACACTAAGGGTTCCGTGTCCGTACTTAAAATGTTTCTATCACAGAATCGCTATAATGTAAATGTGCTTGTTTATGTAAGCATTTCGTTATTGTATCATCGTTAACCCGCCACCGCGACCGTCCTGCACATTAAACATTATAATCTAAACCCAATATCCCCCCATCCTTACAGGTATAGTTTTAAACGTTGCGAAATATACATGTAGCGAAGGTACTACATAATGTAGCTAAGGAAACTACATGTTGCGTGTTCTGATTGTAATACTTGTAGTGATTTATTAACCAATAACATGGGTATATACATGCTATTTATATGTAAAATATGTTTCGATGACATGTCAGAATTAAGCAAACCAAGTCATCTAACGGGGTCAGGCTGTAGTTACTAAGTGCCTACATACAAAATAAAGAACTATAACAATAAGATCACATTTTTATACAAATTAAAAATCGATTGTAGATTGAAAAAAATTAACGATCCACAGCGTTCCGTGCTGTTGCTCTAACCAATTGAACCGCCGTGCCCTACGTCACCGTCTTTTCCTCTTTGAATCTACAATCAGTTTGTAATGTATAGTGCTATCATGTGCAATAGCATGAAAATATTAAAGATGTTCACGTGTCATTAAACATTTATAAACATTCTAGACTAATCTGACAGTATCAAACAATTTATTACCCATTAGAACTTAATAACAACATTTTCGTCAGTCCCAGAATAAGGAGACAAGGTAAAAAATTCCCTACTTTAAATTTCTTATGAGGGATTATTGAACGTCCGACAGTACTTGCGCGCTCATAATAGTTATCAGGGCAAAGTATTATTAATAATTATTGTGTTAATTGTAAGAGATTAGCTGCGGCCTAACCGGGTTAGGCATTCGCTTTGTATATAGTTCTTCGTATTCAGTTCAAAGATCGTGAGCCGCGTGCAGACGATTATTTAATAATCCTGACACACAAAAGTAGTAATGTAGTAAAATAGTCACTTTGCTAAATAATGATAACATTGTACTTGACAGGTAAGTAAATATGGTCTTTAGTTTACGCAGCTGGCACATTGGAAAATTTTCAAGAATTTAAATTATCTTAACATTTTTAATGTTTCTTTATAGTTTAAAGTGTTTTTATGTAAGGTAAATGGAACCTCTACTGATCTAACCACTAACTGGATTTAGACCAGACAATTATAGTAATAATCTTAAAAATAATTATCTTAATCATTTAATTTAATTTTTATTGTCTTTTGTGTGTCGAAAAATGAGTAAACGATTTCCGGGTTCTTTAAACGAGAACTATATAACTTAACGCATCGTCAAGGCAACCCGCTGAAACATGAAAATGAATCCCACCTAAAAATCTTCCTCTCCCTCTTTCAACTTCGCTGTAGTCAGGAAAAAGAGTAAGCTATAACTATAATATTACTTAAACGATAATGCTGTTATAGTGGCATTTTAAGACATTTGTTGGCTATAATACAAATTTTACGAGTAATAAAAATTAAGATTTTACAATCGCCGCTCGGTTAATAATTTGGATAGTCCTAAGCAACAGTTATTTCATAAACAATGTATAATTTACGTCGTACACCACAATCATTTCGACGTTAACGAGAAAGGTAAGGACAATGTAATACATAGCTGTGATTATATTAATTAATGAGCACATCACGAGTCCTACAAGAGATTTCAATTTTCAAAATTGTTCCGCGTACCTCATGTAGTTGTAATTAATTCTTCACATCGTGTGAGCTAGGACTCCTAGCAGTCCATAGTAAGATCGAACAATATCTTTTGGTGAAAATAGACTTGCTAATAGCTTCGTGGTCGATAGCTCTGTCGTTTTTGTTTACCCAAATAACTGTGTAACGTAAAAAGAGAAAGCGGATACTTCAGAAAGATATGAAATGATGTAAAAGGTGTTGTTCCTTGCAAACCTCTCGAATCAGTTTCACCTTATCGACTAAATCAGTGCAAAGATCGCAATAAGTTACAAACTGTGTATTATATGATAGTATTTATTTCACGCGATTTCGTTTAAACATATGCGATGTCTTGAATATTGTTTAAGATTGTTTTCATTTATTTAAAGTGAAGGTCACAGCTTATATTATTTAATACAATTTTAAGTTAGAAAAGCTTCTCATACCAATTTCACAGCTTCACTGTATTATTTCTTTGTGTCACACCTTTATATTGAATATTAATTCACGACGATAGCCAAGAGCGTAAGAAGCCAAGTATACGAAATATATATGTATATATGAAACGCACAACAAGAATATTTTTTACAGTAGCATTATTACGCAAAAATACACCCGGTACAATTTTTTTACATATATATATATTTTGATAAATATTATTTCAAGTGCCGCCGTATAAAAGTAAATGACATAGTATACCAATGCCCTAATGGAGAGTAGTATTATTAAACAATTTCCCGCGCACATATACATTAGAATACTGCGCGTGCGCGCGACGAGGCGCGCTAATTTTTATTTGTTTCGGAATTAAAATTGCCTTATTAAGATTATTAGTGCATCAACCGCGAAAGGACTTATTGAGGACAGATTTATGTCGCCGTTATGGTGAGTACGCAAGAGGCTACGTTATAAGATAAAATATCAACAAAAAATTACATAGAATGTGTAAAATAAAACAGTGATTAAGGAAGTTATTTGTAAACATTTTTTAAAGCCAAGAAGAATAAGCATCATTTATAAATATATTTTAATATTTAATGTGCATAATCTACCATACTTAACGGCGCACTCGGGTTACAGTCATGTATTAACATCTTTTATAATAAACGCATTCACAACTTTAACATTTAATGTTAAAAGATCGTCGAAAACACAATTCAACAAAATACCTCTCTCTTTACACCGTCAGAAAAGAGTTTCAAATATTTACTTTGCGTTACGTGTATTTTAATTTATTAGAATGAAATATTTTTTTGCTAGACCAAAACTCGATTGCTAATTAAGAGATAGAACGAGTTGGCAAAGTGAGAGTTGCTATTTTTAGTCTGGAAAGGGTAATAGCTTCGATAGCTTATCGTTGTGAATACTTCCCGATACGTAGACTCATTCGCCCGAACAACATTCGTGCTCTTACTAAAAAATATATATATTACATTCATTTGTTTATCTACCAAAACCGCTTATAAATCGAGGCATTCTTAGGAAACTGCTTAAGAAATTATAAAGGTTGTGAATGAGTAAGTATTTTAATGCCTATCGCATGCCTATGCACCCTTAACATAAGTTATCCCTATACATTGAATTCACAAATATTTTGTAGAATGATAAAGCGTCTAACATTCTACAAAGTATCGTGCGTTGTAGATATTACATAAACGAAAGAAATGGCTTTAGCCTAAGCGTATGTACACTTTCAACAGCTTAATATAAAGTAAACAATCGATTATAATGTGAAAAATGTATGACTCGGGCAAAACTTGAACCGGCACTCTCAGCCCGCCGTGCTGTTAGACTCGGTTAGAGCGACCAATATAAGTTAGAGTGAAAACAATAATCTAATTATTTTCATTCTAAGTAAGCAATGACGACGTTATAGTCAGACGTATTATTAAAAATACAATTTGAAATTTAGCTTAAAACATCATAATACAATAATACTAAAACTAGACTCAAATCAATAAATAAGTTTATTTAAGTCCATTTAAATCTAATTGTAATGATCAGTTTCGTAAGTAGGCGTACAGACATTTCCTCAGATGTGATAACGTAAGTACTCAAATACGAGACTCAATTATTTTTTATTCCTTTTTCACGTATTCTTTGACGACACCTATTGCACAACGCAGGAAGAGGGCTGTAATTGTCGCTTTTTGACAAGCGCTTTCTAGTTTTGCAATGAGACGGGGTTCCTGTGATTGTGCCAAATTTCAGTGTCATTTCTTCAGCCCATTAATGATCATTTGAAATTTTTATTAACATAATAATATAAATATAATACACGTAGGCACGCCCTACTAAAATATTGAGAAAGTCCCATTGTCTATAACGAGGTATCTTTTATTACACTCTTATGTCTTATGTAAGAGCCTGTTAAAGTAAAATAAGTTAGTTTTTTTTTATGACACAGAAGGACAGATAAGGATGGAGTTCTCGTAGTGGATGGTGGAAACCTATTTTGGCTATTGACATTTATCCATATCATACAAATCCATAGATGTAAACCGACATAGTCCGGAAGTAACCTCGATATTTCTACCACCCGTTTAAGTTAATGCTCTTTCCAATTATGCAGTTCAAACATCGCATCAAAGGCGTTTACTTATCAAATTGATTCCTCGATTACCTTTAGATTTGAACTTGATTCAAAAGCGGATGTCAAGGGCGGACGAACACGAGGCAGATGACATTTGGACGAGCTCCAACTACAAAACACGAGTTTCTTTGTTAACCTTATTATTTTGTCTTAATTAAATGTCTTTACTTAAAAAATAAGATACAATTTACCTTACGAGAGAAGTTTAGACGATCTGGGTGTTAAACTGAGATAAGCGTGAGTAGGAGTTCGATTTCTGATAAAGCACTTAAACCATCTAGGCTGTACACAATTGACTTATTGTTTTCCTAAAAGTTGTGAGATTTTGTCATTGAGGCCAACAATATAAAGACAGTTGTTAAAAAAGGAGAAGGGGGAGAAAAATATGCTATATAAACTATTTAAGAGAAGAGAATAAACTTCCAGTATCCCGTAAATTGCCTGTTTGTAACAATGTAACGAAAGTCATATCAGCAAGCAATATTGAAAAGTAGAAAACGTGCTTGATGCGATTTTACTTATTTTTTTGAGAGCGACGAAAGAGGAGGCCAAAACTTATTTTAATTGATGAAAGGAACAAGAGGCGACGAACAATGTTGTTTACGAAATACGACTCTATGCCGACGAAACATAGTTTATACAATAACCGGAATTAGAGGAAAGCCTTCGCATCATTTATAAACTAGACGACACTACCACGGACTACGATAACACACCACAAAAACTGTTCTTTGCTTTGTTTTTATCGATATAAATTAGAAACGTGGATAAAATATATTTTTTTACTTTGATTGAATTCATAGATTCACACATTCATGCATTTAATTTTATTTTATGCAGTGGAGTCAAAAAATTATATATTTTTTTTTCAACGATGTTTTAATAAACTAAAATTAAAAATTTCGCCGTTCTCAATGCCAATAAATAAATTTAAATCGTATGTTACAAAATCGTAAACATAAATTGCTAGGAATGGGTATTATGCCGTAGATTAAACAAAACGAAATTTGGGTTGGAGGACTCCGCTCTTAAAAGATTATAGATACACACTTAGAGTACGTGAGTACTGAAAAATTAAAGTTGGCATTAAACGGTAGGGACGAGTTTGTTGCGACTTCCTCTCGTTCGTTCCCAGATTTTGTGCATCCTCCAAATGCCGAAAAACTTCATCGTAACGAAGGCCTATTTTAATACACCATCTGTCGTATACAGAAGACCAAAGTAGTAGTTTTGAAATCAACAGAGCGTACCAGCACCACCACGCTACCAACCAATTTGTTTTCAGCTGCGTCATTCACTATGAATATTATAATCTGTTTGTTTTGGCCACCTGCATACCCTTCAGGGGTGTATTTATATCTCATTTAAAAAAAAACTAGTTTTATTTAAAAAAAAATGGTTAATTATTAACTATTTGCATCGATAAAGCAAAACGGTCACGGCGGCATCCGTAAGGGCCGGGATCAGCTCGACCTAATATTTTTAACTTATCAATCAGCACAATGTTGTAACGTAAGTGTTACGTGGACACCAATACAAGGACCTCAGATCGCGTTACACAACGCCATTGTTACTCGATGTCCAGCGAATTGTTTATTCGATGGAAGTGCATAAAATTTCAGAAATAGTCCTTATCCATCGATACACACAAGTAATAATTACTGTTTCCATGCATATTTCAAGAGTAAGGTTCCCGAGTAGCCACTTTAGCAGTGTATGATTTCCCACGGGTTAAGAATTAAATTAATGGTGGTACCATGAAAATGTTGTCTGACTGACGTGCACAGATGGCATTAAAAATAGTTAAGTCAAGTTAAAAAGAATCAAAGGCAAGATGGGATGGCAGCATCCATTATTTAAGGCCTGTCCGTGCTTTTCTGGTTTCCTCAGTCTTTATTTCGGTATATAAAATGTTTGTTATAAACCCGTAATACGCCATGTTCCAAACTGTTAAAACAGTTTTCACTTAACACTAATGATGGTACATACTTCCGTTCTATCATTAGTGTAAGTACTTGAGTGTAGTACTTACGCGCTATCATTAGACATATATGAAAAACCGATTAGTAACTTTTAAAAGAACTTTCAGACGTCCTTTTATTATATATTCTGCACCTATGCTCAGTCATCTCAGAAGTTGGCAGATTATTTTACATGAAATACAAAAATAAGGAGTTTCGTTAAAACTCGCGGAGGTTTATAAACGAAATTTAACTGAAGAAAATTTAAAGTGAGTTGTACTTTATAGTAATTAGCGGTCTGGGTGACCCAATATACGTGTAATTATCAAAATAGCAGAAAAATTATAAACAAATCTTTTATAAATGGGCAATATGGATTCAATCTGTTTAATTTATGTTAAATATTAATAAACTTCGATAGATGCCCGAACAAGGCGTGGACGGTTTCAACCTAGATGGGATCCTGAGCGAGCTGGGCAGTTTTGGCAAGTACCAGCTCTTCCTGCTCCTGCTGCTGGGCTTCCGAGATTCCTTCTTGAATATGTGCAACTACAATTACGTCTTCACTGCCGCTGAGGAGCCCTTCAGGTAAGAACAAATGTATGACTTACACGCGAGCGCTAAAATATAATTCGTTAATTCTTATATTCCTAATTCAAACCCAATTACAGATATGTCACGTGAAATCGGCAATATAGAAAATGGTCCATAAAAACAAGAAAAAAATAATCCCGAGTATATCTTAATCAATGCCAACTCGTAATCGTCAAAAGAATATTTATAATATGCATATATTACTGCAAATTAATTACATTTTAATGGACAGCATAGATCATTGCGATGCAAAGTAGAACAATAAACCATTTTTGTATTATGTAATTGTGTTTCTGCTTAAAAACAATAAGTAATTCATTTAAGTATTTTTGAGTTACGTCGCATTGTTCGGGGCGATAATTTTTCATTAGCCATCGTGCACACGTGGCGCGCTTTCGTTAATTGCTTATTGATAGTTTTATTTGCTCACAATTTATGCATTTAATCGGTGGTTTTGGTGCAGTAGCGTACGTACATTTCGAACTTGGTCATTATATTTACATAATTATCAGTTGCTATCGCAGACTGGCAGACTCTAGTGCTACGAAAATCGTAGCCACCTCTTCGTCAAAGAGAACACAGACAATGTGATCAAAGCGAAATGTAAAGTTAGCTGTTTTACAATGTACAACACTTAATATTGCACCACTAGACCACAATAATACCTATCTAAGTGTATTATAACGGTACGCGGACAACGTCGTAGGTATCAGCTACAATTTATAAAGATGGGGGTGGTTTGGAAAAACAAATTATTATCCCCATAATTCTTTTACGCGGACGAAGTTGCTCGCACAGCTAGTAAACAAATATTCTTTAATGTTGGGTTTCGAATCCAATTAATTTTTGTGGTCAGAAGTTCTCTAGTTCTTCCTCTATAAAATAGCATAGAAACTAAACGTTGAATCGCATCGCATGGCGTGTTATCTGTGCATATGAAATCAATGTGCGACAAGTTCGCAGGTCACGCAGCACCGAGCCATCTCCTCGTCATGACATACTGCAAACTATTATTATTTCGTTGCTCGTGTAATGGCCCACGTGACCGATGTTTCGCATTCCTCTAAAGCGAGTAATGCGCGGGAACCAAAATATGGATAACGTTGAGTGCAACTCGATTCGAAATGCGACAAATCGTTTGAATTATAGCTTCGAGTGTGAGTCACTACACTTGCAACTTAAATATAAATCAAATAATAGAAACTTTTCACATTTTTCTGCTACACATACAATACAATTTAAAGACGTAGATATGTACTTAATGTATTTTAAATAATTCAATAAAATTGTTCTAGAGTTCGAGAACAAATTTTTCGTAACGACTAAAAAGTTTATTTACGTTATTAACAATATTTTAGTAATAGAATCAAATGCGCAAAAAGTAAAGAAAATACGTCCGAATAAATTATCGATACGCTTTTAAATTATTTATTTTAATGAGAAAATGGCTGTATTTTGAGTTATATGAAATATACCATACAAATATTACAAGAATACGTCGGATTCGATGCCATAAAATTCATCATTTTGGCCCTTTCAGATGCTTAAAACCTTCTTGCTACCCAAACTCAAACCAATCCTGGATTTCATTCCCCACACGAGATGGCACCACTTGCTTCAAACAAGACAACGAGACGGCCACCTGTTCTGCGGGTTTTGGCTCTGACAGTATACCTTGTGAAGAAGTTGTGTACGACCAATACAACAGTATTGTGGCGGAGGTAGGACATCAAAGAGAAGAGATCTTAAAACAATAACTATCACTGAACATTAATGTAACTGTTTGCTAACAATATCTGTAATGTTACATCATGTGTCGCTACAAACTACAAGTCCATTGCCAAGGACACAATATTAATGGCTCAATCGTGAACAATCACTATTCTGTACTGAATGTCAATCCAAAGAGACCGAGAGAGGATGATAATAATAATTCTAAAGTGAAAATAACGCTAAATTATCTCTATCTATCCCAACGTGTCTTTGACACAACTCTTACGATACGCCGCACGTGACGAAAGTACCGTGTACTTTCGTACAGTGGTAGTAAACATTTTATTTAGATTTTCTCCTGTTCATAAGAATTTAATACACACTGCCCAACAACAAAAAAAACAGCAAAAACCATAACGACACAAGCGGTGTCATACATTTTGGATGAGTTAGCTGAGCTAGCATCGGCATGTGTCATTATGTCATGTCATTAATGTGTTAAATAGCTGTGACATGTAACATAATGCGCTTATCACACTGAATGTCGTTAAGTATTCATTAAGTAAGCACCTAAGTTACTTTCAAATTGTAAAGCCTACAAGGTAAAAAATACAGTCATGCGAGTAGGATAGTTTTGGCAAACTTCGAACATCTCAGCCGATTTAAATAGAGTTTTACTACATTCTGTAAAGTCTTATTTCTATTCAATATTTAGAGGATTTCATTAGCCCTACCTACCTATAAAAATACCTATTTCTGTTCTTTGTACTTGTATTTGTTCTTGTATTAATATATTTTCTGCTCATCGAAGAAGATTCAAAGCATCGTTAGATAGCAAATAATTCTATTGTTGCGTATTTGTGTTGTTTAAAAGGCGTCATTTAGATCCGAAATGAATTAATGATCACGACTCAATTACGCAATGTTATTTAACCACAACAATAACAAATAACGACAACCGAGTTACAATCATGCACGAAGATGTGGATCGAACGAATGAAGAGTATTATGCGATATTTTCGTAAATAGAAGTAAATCGTAATTTGATTTGTCAATCTTGTCATACGGTAGTACAAAGTAATTATTACTACATCCATAATAAAACTAATTGCTTTTCTTTAATTTCAGTTTGACTTAGGATGCCAGCCGTGGAAGGCTACCCTCATTGGCACCGTCCACAACTTGGGATTGGTTTTCTCATTTGTACTGTCTGGGTTCATATCTGACAGGTATTTAAATAACCATACTCAATACAAAGATTCGTTAGATGTAACGTGTGTCTATAACATAAAGGACTAAGCAGAATTTAAACAAAACTAACGACAATATTCCCTAGGTGTTTGTTACAAACTGAAGAGTGTTTATAATTTTACGTATCAGCGAAGCCTGTCACTTTTATTTGACTTCTAAAGAAGTAATATCTTATTTTTCTTTCTACTTTACAGGTATGGAAGAAAGATAATCATAGTGAGTACTCCGCTTATGGTCGGCATCGCTGGTCTGCTAAAGTCATTCGCAATGGACTATTGGACTCTCCTCGCTCTGGAGTTTTTGGAAACCGCTCTGGGCTACGGGAACGCATCTATGGTTTTATGTAAGTTTTGTTAGTTGCTTAAGAAAAAACTATGTACTAATAATATTCAAGACTTAGGCGCAACTGATAGCACAATATGACGGTCGATTGCACATGAAGATTTGCTTTTTAAAAGCCGCAGGCGCAATAACATTGTGTCAGCTGAACTATTTTAAAAATCATAAAACTTTAATATTGTTCACATGTTCACATTGAAAAAAAAAACTGTGGATGCCGGTTCAAGTCCTGCCCGGCTCAATTTTTTCAATTTATAATCGATTTTTAATCATAAAACTTGTTCTTTACAGCATTAGAAGCAGTTAGTCACAAAAACCGGGTTATGTATTCTTGCATATCTGACATCCTGGCCAATTTTGGAGGAGCGTTCTTTGGCCTCATAGCGTGGAAGGTTCCTTATTGGAGACACCTGACGAGAGCCATCTATGCGCCGCTTCTGATCGTTGTACGTTGGTTCTTGAGTTTTAAATACTGTCTATAGTTTACGCGAGTAGTACACATTTAAATAAAACACTTTAACGGTTTAAAACGCGATATATTAGTTAAACTTATAAAAATGATTTTTAACTTCGGCCCGACGTTTCGGATGCTTTGCAGCAGCCGTGGTCACGGGGAGTCAGTCTCCCCGTGACCATTGATCGAGAAAGAAAAATAATATGTTTCTAATAACAATATTATAGTCAAGACGTTCTTATTGTCGTTTCAGGTATTTTACATATTCCTTGTAGACGAGGGAGTGAGATGGCTGCTCGCCCACAATAAGCGACACGAGGCTGTCCAAGTACTGAACAAAGTTGCTAAAATCAACAACATCACGCTGTCAAACAAAGCGCAGGAAATGCTCACTAGTATTACAGCACAAAAGACTGCGGTAGATAAGGTATAACATTTTGAAAAATGATTTGAAACATGTGTCAAATGTTTCAATTTAGATTTTTTGGAACTTGCTTGCCATGCTTGTCTCTATACTAAAAAAAAGAAACATGTGAATATTAAATTTGAAGTTCCCAGTAATCGTATTACTCGTATATAATCGATATATAAATGATATTTCAACATTTAATACAATTTTCCTTTTCAGGCGGAACGTTCCGAAGAGGTTCCACAAATTTTTACAGTGCTTCGCTCAAAAACACTCCTCTTACGGATGGCTCTCATCGCAGCGTGCTTCATCTGCTCCTCCTTTGTTTTCAGTGGAGCTATCATCAACTCTGTTAGCATTTCTGGAAGCAAATATTTGAATTTTTCCATCATGATGCTAGTACAAGTGCCGACTAGATTCGTCACAGCGCTCACTTTGACCAGATTCGGGAGGAGGGCCCCGATCTGTGTCGCATATTGCCTCTGCGCTGTATTCTTCATGGCTTCAGCTTTCGTGCCCAAATGTAGGTATTGAATAAAACATTCGTTTACTAACAACAACTAAGATTCACAAGGTCAATCAAAATGACAGATTTTATCGATAAATGAGCGATGGGTGCAATTATTTCAACGGATTGGATTCACGTCAAGTGATAATAGTTGTAATCGGTTGTAAGTTTTTCAAATAGATCACGTTTTTTTACTCTACAGCTATCTGGTGGGCGTCAGTATTATTCTACATCGCTGGTAAAATGTGCAGTAGCTATGGCAATTTCTCGATGTATGTGGTGGCGATGGAGATTTTTCCCACCACCTCGAGAAACAGTCTCACGAACGTCGCCAATATTGTGGGCAGACTGGGCTCGGTGTTAGCGCCACAAGCGCCTCTACTCGTGAGTATTAGATACGGTCGTTTTCTACTCTATAAATGGTTATAACAATAATTGGCATATGCGCTATTGATTTCTTAATGTCACGTTAACAGGAGAACATAATGCCTGGTCTCCCAAGCATCGTATTCGCGATAGCAGCACTCGGACCGGCCATTCTGGCCCTTCTACTGCCCGACACCAGCCAATCTGTGCTGCCAGACCAAGTGTCTGATGTCGAGAAGGTTGATGCGACATCAAACCCAGACATCGCCACCGAAACCACCAAGCAGAGGTTATGATGGTGCAAAATCAAATGTAACATGTCAGTGATGTCAAAGACAAATGGGATAAGGAATGGCTCTAAGGCCTAATTTGTGATATTTAGATATATATGAGTATTTGTACAGTGTTAGAAACTTAAGTTAAGGTGTTCTACACGCTAATTTATATTTTGCATTTGAAATCTTAAGAAACCGAGAGAAATTGACGTGTGCGGTATTCAAGCAGACATTATTAAATAATGAATCCGGGCCGCGAAAACGCCTACAAAATTCTGTAACTAAGCACTGTTTATTTCGCAGAACTAGCATTCTTAGTTCTCTAGACTTATAGTTTTCTTATAACTGACCCGGTTCCTTGCTCTCGAGTGTATTTATTAAGAGCAATTGTACTTACGATCTGTTTGGTCGTTAAAAAAACATAAACGCTCCGTTTCAGGTCGACTTTATTTATTTTACCCTTACAATGGTTCCTCGATAGAGATATAATACAGGCTGTAACCGGAATAGTTTAATAGTCACTAATTTACCAACATAGCCATAGATAAACATCAGCATTATAAAATAGAATGATAATCTATACTATGGTTATACTTAATTACATTTATGTACAAATAGTGTTAAGATAAATAAATTAATAATACTTACACCTATAGAAAGCAAAATTAAAGCGATCTCATTAATAATACTACAATACTTATGATTTTATTTTAGATACCCCTCACAAAAAACAAAAATAATAAGACTTTTTAATTGAGCAAATATTCTAGATTATTTAATCATATAGAAAAGCAATTAAAAATGTTAAATTCTTTAACTGCTTGCCTGCAGTAATAGAAATATTAAAGATGTTTTTAAAATATATGGTGGGTGGTTAGTGGTTAGTGCCTTTGACTGTATCGAATGATTTCATAACTGTAACTGCCAAACCGATTTTGGTGATAGTTTCGCCGATAAGCTGCAGGCTATATAAGACTACCTTTTTTTAAAAAAAAAAGAAATCGCCACGAAAAAATCCTATTTATCACGCAACGTTTAAGAGAGCTTATCACTTATTTACCCGAGTCGTTGGAACTTGAATAAATATTTATCGTTCCTTTCCCTTTCTTCCAATCGCTTCTGCTTCGGCCAACGTGTCTGGCATTTTAGTACCGACAGTCTCCGGTTGAGTGAGGATGAGGATGCCCGAGAGGATAGCCATGCCGCCGAACATCATGGAAGGGATACCGTGCCAGTAATCCATCTGAAACTCATTCCATATGAGTACGAGGGTAGATTGACATGTATCTGTAACTAACTCTAAAGCACGCACGTACACATTACATTGTAACTGTGTAACTCTGCAATTTTAAACTTAATAAGGAAACGTCTGTTGAAAATCTTAACTAACGATAATATAACGAAGAAACTCACAAGTACTGGTGTCAAAGGTGCTGTGATAGAGCCAATTCTGCCGACCATGGAAGAGAAGGCGAGCAGAGTGTGTCGGAATTCAGTAGGGTACAGCTCCGATGTGAATAAATAGAGAGACGTGAACACCAGAGAAATGCCAAACTTGCCCGCCAGGTAGATCACGAGACGGACCACGTTCAAATCTAAGACAAATAATATCATTTATTAGGGTACTTGAAAAATTAACACCATTATTATGTAAGGGAAGTGGTAGCCAATACATACTAATAAATTGTAATTAAACCGTGGAACACGATCCCACCCCAATTTTGGTTTTGCTGATTATTTGAAGTTAACATTTTTTTAAATAGAATACATTTTAGAAAAACGATTGATAAACAGTTACTTTGCGGGTCCAGTCACCCTTAATTCTATGTGCAACTATTGGTGATTTTAATATATGTATATTTGATCCTTTCTCGAAGATTTAATTGTGATCGTATCTACGGGAAGTTAGACGAGTACAAATTGCGTCAACAACAATCTTTAAAATTTTTAAATACTATCTGTGTAATTTAAAACGTGATCATTGCACGTGTATTTTATCAGCGCTTATCAACAAAATACTAAAAAATCTTGATGTAAATCATCAAATTAGATTCAAATAATCCTCTGATATGGAATATTACGCTGATGGCGATGAAAAGCTTTTTACGACCTGTACTAAAGATATGAGGTATTTTAAAATTACGGTAGCAGGCCGGTGTTACCTTGAGGGATGAACACGAAAGCGATATTGCAGGCAGCGCTGAAGAAGAAACCGGCCGAGAGGGTCGGCCTTCTTCCTAATCTATCTAGAATGAAGACCGCCGTGTAGAAGCCGGGAATCTCGATGGCCACCGTCAGGATGTAGTTGAGATAGATGGTGTCGGAGAGACTCGTGGAATTAATAGAGAGTCCGTAGTAAACGAAGGTTGTGGTGATCCACCAGATTGGAGTGGTGCAAACGCGACGTAATAAAATCTTCGATCTAAGTATTGTTTTTATTAAGCCGTCCTTATTTTCCTGAAAACGTCACGAGCACTTGTAAAATGAAACGTTGAGCCGTAGTTAAAATAAATTAAAAAAATTGAACTTATATATTTCGCGTTTTCAGTCATATTTATACTATATAGCATATTTCATTATTGTTTTTATTTAGTATACTATATACTTTACCAACGGGCGATAATGTTATAATCTTAAGATAAAGAATCTCTAAAGGTGGCCAACAACGGTATTTATTTAATCCTTTAAATGACGAAGTAATATTCAAACTACATCTGTTTACGATTAACGTCATTCGAATAAAAATAAGTATTATTGCATTACATAAGCATTTTATTTGAAATGATTGATTAAATTCGCGACCCAAAGCGCCCAATCGGAAGCGATAAGGTACCTGTATGATGAAAATTATTAATTAATTACAGTTATAATAACATAATGACATGCCTAATTTACCATGAAGATCATAACATATTCACATACTTAGCATCACTATATTTTTTTTGTGTTGATTTGTGGTGTAGTTGTGCTTGAATGATAGTAGAACTACTTTTTCAACGAAATTAATGTTTTCGTACATTCTTAGAACTTCAATTTGTTTTTTTTTATTTATTACGAACACTGTCTATAGTTTACGCGAGTAGTACAAATTTAACCGTTAAAGTGTTTTATTTAAATTATTACGAATGACACACGATAGCACAGTGCTAAGTTAAATCTAGTCATTTACTCACCTTAACGGATTCGTCAGTAACAGGTGGTGGTGTCAGAAGCCCTTCCATAGACTTCTCGCTGATCTGCTTCTTGTTAACCCTTGCGATGTTCTCGAGAACCTTTCTCGCCTCTTCGAACTTTTGCTTAGACAACAGCCACCTGATACTCTCAGAGAGAATCCAATAGTACGAGATGATCAAAAAGCAAGGAATGTGAAGCGCCATAATCATGTAGCGCCAGGGCTGGATCAGCCACGCGACACCACCCAAAATCACTTGACCGGTAGCGAACATAGAAGTTGCCGTTGCACTTGCCACTACCCTCCATTTCGGTCCGACAAGTTCCGCAGCTAAAATATACAAATTAGTAAATAATTTTCACGCTTTTCGGGAGAGCAAACAAAAAAGTCGATGCTACACTTAACTCAACGAAATAAATTATAATTTTCCTAAATTTACAACTGCAAAGCCTAACGCTCAGCAGTTGAGTTAAGTTAAGAGCCAGAAGAGTGCTACTAAAAATATGTAAAATTTAAAGTAGCCTTTATAGTTACTTACCGAAAACATAAGCCGAACTGAATGTGCCGGCACCGAGAGTGGTTTGTAGAATTTGTAGAGCCAAATACATGTTGTAGTTGACGGAAAAGGCCCTGATGAGTCCAATGAGAGCCAGATTAAACACGCTGATGATGAGCGCAATTCTTCTGCCAAACTTGTCAGAAACGTATCCAGTGATCGGGAGTACCAACAAAGTTCCCACGCTGTTAAGAGTACCGGCTAATACTCGCATAAATTCTTGACATCCAAGATCGAACTGAAGGAACAGATTTACCATTAATGATCACGTGGTGGAAATCGCGTTTATTTCTTTACACTACTTACGTAACATCACAACAACTATTTAATGATGTATTCTTGTAGAAATGTAGGTGGAAACGCCAATAGCACAAACTTATTCTATTAAGGAATAAGTCAAAATAAATAAAAGCGGAAATGGTTATTGGTGTGTTTTTCATGTGAAATACTTACATCGTATACAACGGAATTATCCCGCGCGTAGACAAAAGTGTCGCAGCTAACAGTGACCGATTGATCGAAGAGGGATGCAGGGCAAGTTTCAAGGGTGCCGTTGACTGCAGGATTGTCTACTGGTTGGTACCGATTACAAGTTGACGAGGCTGTTCCTCTGTCGGGCATCGCATTAAGAAGCCAGTTGGGCTCGAACGGCACTAGCTTAGTGTCTTCCCCGCATTCGGGAACGCGGCATCTAAAATACATACAAATAAAGCGTGCAATTATATTTTACAAATAACTGCATTTACTTAAACATAGAATAAGTATTAATTTACGTAATGAATGTAGATTTTTAAAATCATCTAAGAAAAGCAACAGAGACGCTTTAATTTGTACGTTGTACATTAATCAAGAGTGCATGCCATTTTAGAAAAAATTGAATTACCTGTGTGGAATGGCTGCAGCGGAGAAGATATATTCGCTCATAAAGGCGGACATGATGAGAGGGATAGCTACCAATATCATGTACCGAAGCTGGAAGGGCCCAAATTGGCCTAGTTCGTTGACCAGCACATCGTCTAGGTCTATTCTCTTTACTTCACCGGTTTTGACATCGCCCTCTTTATCGCCCATTTTGTCAACTGCTACCTCCGAGCTCTCCCACCTTCGAAATGAATGCTAATTATTATGTTAGCATCGTATAATGTAAAATCGAGGTATGACACGAGATAGGACGGCAAAGCGATTAAAACTGTTCATGATAATCCTCATTTCGTGTAATGTTTTACTTACTTTTAAGACCCATATAAGCGCTTAGTTTTAATGATAAGAGATAAAGAGCTCTCTTTTACATATATTTAAAAAAACGGTGCATGGAGTGACAGTGACTTTGTGACACCGAAGAGCTGGTTTATTATCTTCTACGTGAGAGCCTTAAGGGTATACTAATGTATACTAAGTGTGAGATATACTAATAATAATAATCGAGACAAAGTTCTAATTTCTACAATAAATCCTAAGTAACTTAATAGTTTTAACCGTCTTTACTCGTCTTTACTCGTCGCTCTAAAGCAGTACTATCATTAGGACAACTTAAGACAATAGGTATAAAAATAATATATATATATATATATTAACAAAAATATATTATCGATTTATCTTGCAAATCAAAATGTTTTTATATTCCTAATGACAATCTAATGTTTATCTGCGATGTCCTGATTTGAAATTACCGGTACACAATTATGTTCGTAAGAATGATATGTTGTTTTATTTGTATTAAGGCAGAAGGTAGCAGCAGTTCACACTTAGATAAGATTTACTTACACAATGTAAACTGAAACATATTTTATCCCAGTTCACTGTGTGCTGGAGCACATTGATCTTCCAATCATTCCAATTAATGTTGTTATATTTGTTAAATATTGAATTTGAAGTCTTGAAATATATCATATAGAGCGTTTGTAATAAAATAACTTCTATCACAATAAAAGTCAATTTCGTCATAAGTATATATTTTCCTCTTATAATGCAATGCACATGCAATAAGCAACAAAGGATAAATTATATAACGCTTTGGCAACCATTTTGCAAATTCTTGTAGCTTTACAAAAAAAATATTGTGTTTAAATGCTTACATCGGAATAATAAAAAAAACGCCCTTCATTTCGAAATATCAATCATTCTTAAGGTCAACCAAATGACTTCAAAAAGACGTAATTAGATTAAAAGTTCGTTTTAGATTAGAGTTAATAAATAGTATCAATTAGGAAATATTTTTATCTAATATGATAAACTTAAAAATATTTGCATGTGATCGAAGATCGATAAAAATTAATCTAAACTAATATTATAAAGAGGAAAGATTTGTATTTTTGTATGTAACGGGTAAACTCAAAAAGTACTAGACCGATTTTAATAATTCTTTTTTCATTAGAAAGCTACATTATCACTGAGTAACATAGGCTATATTTAATACTAGATTACTATAGATATCTATAGAAATTCTTACTAAAACCAACGGAAGGCGTAAAACAATTTGCCGTAAAATGTCTTTCTTCGCCTACGCTGCGAAAAGTATTAATGATAGGACAAAAAAATGTTCGACAATATTATAGAATATATTAATATCTACAAAAAACATTACGAGAGCATATGTCTAACTATTGTAGTTACGTCGCTATAACTACTTTTTTACATTTAACAAATTGATAGAAATGCCGATCAAAATCAGACCGTATTATCCGTACCATTTTAAAACTTATATCCAATTAAATAATTTAATATTCAAGACTGTCTCAATACCTGACGATTACTTTTTTAATTATTGAAATCGGACATTCCATTCAAAAGATATCACGAAGTTAAAATAAAAATGCATGCCGGCGGTGACCGCCTCGCCGCGCATTGAGTATAAATTCGACGATAGAGGGACAGTGGGCTCATTACGCAGTGGGCGCGAACGACATTCAACATTTCGATTTTTTTAAACATTTTTATGCTTCACTTAAAAAGTTCTTTTCAAAGTTTAGTATTAGGAATCACACTTTGCGTAACATTTTTCAAAGTTCTTTTCGGAATTATCTCTTTGAACTTGAATATTTTCTTCTGTAATATTATTAGTTTATTCTTAATTTCTCTGATTTAAAATAAATATCCTTCACAGCAATATGCCTAGAAGAAGAAGGTCGCAGCTATTTGTCGTAATGGAGAGTCGTCTTCCTAAAATGATCACCTGAAAAGTATTATAGTGTACGTGTTTTAATCGCAAGCCAGAGAATCTATCGTCGAATGTTCAGGTTCGTTTTGCAGAACAAAATGCAAGTTCGTCTCAGCGACTTGACGGAAATAGAGCTAGGAATTCGCCTACGCGTGCACGGGACTCTAACACTAAACGCTCGCAGCGGCTCTTGACACAGCGTGATAGACAAAGGTTGTTAACAGCTAGGACGCGAAATACATTTTTTTTTCTAATTTAGTGATTCATGGTCGTTTTAATTAGCATGCTTATTACTTTAATATCTGTACTTATTTATGTCTACCCGTGTGAACCCGGGACATGGCTGCTAGTCTACTATAAAATCAAAACAGCACGAAGACGGAAGTAAGCCTAGTATTTTTATGAAGGTAGAAAAGATTTATTTTAATAGTTTCATATAAGTAATTCACAGATGTCATCGCATATCATTTGATAGGATCGGATCGAATTTATTTTCGATTTTTAAATTATATAGTGCAATAAACATGTGAAAAATATTAAAGTTTTCAAACACAATTACAAGATTTTACCTGCAGCATAAAACCATCAGGCGTTTATTAATGAAATAACAAGTTATTTAAATTCTCATATAATAACGTACTACTACGTTGTGCCAATATTCTCTGCTTCCTCCAGGGTATCAGGAAGTTTGGTGCCGAGGGTTTCGGGTTGGGTCAACACTAAAAGACCAGATATAAGTCCCAATATTGCAAACATCGTGTTCGGTATGCCGTGCCAATAGACCACCTAAAAAGTATAAACACAAAATATTAATTCAATTGTAAGCTATGACGATAAATGCGGGACAGTAAACATTGAGCCGGACTCGACTTACCAACATTGGCGTTAACGGCGCGCATACGGAACCGATTCTGCCGATCATAGAAGAGAAGCCGAGAAGACTGTGCCTAAATTCCGTGGGATACAATTCGGATGTGTAAAGGTACAGTGACGTAAACACTAGGGAAATGCCGAATTTGCCTGCCAAGTAGATACACAAACGCAGAGCGGACAATTCTAAAAATAAAATACTAATTCAAGTTAAAACATCTTGCTACTTTTTAAAATCTTTCCTAAAAAATATTATATTTGAAGTCGTAGGATCTAGTATTTATTTTTAAATAAACACTAATTTATGAAATACTTTACACTTTACCTGTATCTATAAAAACGAAAGCTATATTGCAAACGGCGCTGAAGAAGAACCCAATACAGAGGGTTGGCTTTCTTCCAAATCTGTCTAGAGTAAGAACAGCGGTGTAAAAGCCAGGGATCTCTATAGCAACCGTAAGGATGTAGTTTAAGTACATTGTGCTCGAAAGACTGGTCGAGTTGATGGAGAGACCATAATAGACGAAAGTTGTCGTCATCCACCAGATTGGAGTAGTACACACTCGCCGCAAAAGAACTTGAGATCGAAATATTGACCTTATCAGATTTCGCCCTTCTTTCTGAAATAGCAGGAAGTGTTAGGACATCCAAATAATGGAAATCTAGCAGAGAACACACAGCAGAAACGTATTGAAATTGCAGTTTAGGTATGTAATAATACAAATTTAAAATATTAATGATATATAGTCTAGTCTACTTCAGCTACTTCCACAGTGTTATAACATATGGGATATTAACGCTGCCGACATTCAATGTATCTTTGTGTTGCAAAATAGGGCGGTCCGGGCTCTATGGTATGGGATCTCGGGAGTCATTAAAAGATACCTTTGAAAATATCGGCATACTTACTGTGTACTCGCAGTATATTTATGAAAATGTATTGTATGCCCATAAGAATAAAATCAAGTTCAGCAAGAATAGTGATAGGCATAATTTAAACTTACGAAATAATGATAACCTAGCTAGCTATCTCCAAATATAGGCTCCATAAAATATCTAATTCATTTGCGGGGAATTGTATTCGTATGTACAATACATTGCCAGTTGAGGTGTCAAATTTATCGATATATAAATTTAAAAAAGTTATAAAATTTAAATTATCTCAAAATGCGTATTATTGTCTGTGCGATTTCTTTAATGACAAGACTTCCTAGGTTAATAAAATCACAATGTATTAGTTTATAAGACATGTTTAAAAAGCCGGACTGAGTTTCTTGGGTGTTCTTCAGTTATGTTGCTCTTTTGAACACTCTGTAGAATCACGACAGAGTGACAGACAAACAAAAACAATTTGACGAATCTAAATAATTTTTAAAATTTTAAAGAGAGAGAGAGAGAAAAAATTCAATTGGTACAGTCGTTTTGAATACAGATATGAGATAGTTTTAAAAAATTGAACATTTAGTAAACGGAACAGTACTTACTTTAACAGAGTTGTCAGCTGAAGGATTCATCAAAGCGTGCACGGATTTCTCACTAATTTTTTTCCCATTAGTTCGAGCTACGTTTTCTAAAACACGCTTTGCTTCTGAATAGCGCCTCTTCGATAAGAGCCATCTTATACTTTCCGGTAGGATCCAGTAGTAGGACAAAAGTAGAAAGATGGGAATGTAAAGAGTCAGGACTAAGAGTCTCCAAGGCTGGACTGCCCACGCCACTGCTCCAAGGATCACTTGACCAGTAGCAAAAGTAGAGGATGATGTGGCTGTTGCAAATACTCGATATTTTGGACCGACTAATTCTGCAGCTGTAACGAAGGATGTTTTAGAAGGGCCATAATCATATAAGGATCTATCTATGATAGACTATGAATTGAAATGAAATTACCAAAAATATAACCGGAGCTAAAGAGCCCACCACCCAAAGTGGTTTCTAAAAGTTGTAACACCAGAAACATGACGTAGTCGGTTGAGAAGGCCTTAACGACTCCTATCGCTGCCGTGTTGAAGATGCTGATTATCAGAGCGACGCGACGCCCGAAGTGGTCAGAAATGTAGCCAATAAAGGGTAGGACTAATAATGTGCCCAGGCTTGAGAGGGTTCCTGCGAGACTCCGGAGCCATTCTTGACATCCCAGATCGAACTAAAAATTACATTGGATATACACTATTACTCAGTAATCTAAAACTTCATGTTATCGTTATGAATAACAAGACATACGTCATAAACCACAGAGTTGTTTCTCTCGTACACGAACCCATTACACTCAACGATGTTGGATAGGTCGAACAGCTCCGCCGGGCAATTGTCCATCGTGCCATTTCCGCCGGAATGCGCAGACGCATACCTCTCACAGGTTTTCGACTTGGAGGTTGCCGGGTCCAGGGGGATTGCGTTAGTGATCCACTCCGGTTTGAACGGAACGCTCTTATTTAGCTCCCCGCATTCTGGTACGAGACACCTGCAAAGCCGCAATGTCCAAGTTTAATTTAACATTATAAATTAAAGGCCTTTTAATATTTACTCAGTGTTTTTCTCCTAAGTCAGCTAGTGCTGTGTTCGTTAGGTAAAACACGATAAAGCCAAGAGATGATGGCCAATTTATGGTAATTATGAATTTCCGTCTTCAATGTACATTAATGTAGGTACTTCTATAAACTTTAGTGTTAAGAATCTTATTTATAGAAGGTCCTGGCAATAATGGGAAACTTTAATAGAATTTAAAAATCGAAAATAAATTTTTAAAAATTTCGACTCGGGCAGGACTTGAACCGGAATCCACAGCATACCAATTGAGCCACCGTTCCTATTGTTGTGCTGATTGCAATTTCTATACAAAAATGTATTGCTAACATTTTATTTTTACTTAAATCAGTTACAGTTGCTATTCACCTCATTTCAGGCGCTAGAAAATATAACTTAGATATAATAACTTCAATTGTGGAATCCTTACACGTACATATGTAACGAATAAATGAACCGGGGAGATGTCTGCAACGTAAGGGTTATTTTATTTGTTTACTAACAAATTGATAACTCGAACTCAAGTCGAGTTTCACGCATTATAACGCGTTTCCTTCTGACCCATGAAGGCCGCAAATTAGTGGAGCACGGGCAATTTCAAACGATAAGGTCGCACAGCGGCTACTTGCTAAAAGATATCAACAGGTAACACTTAACTATTTATGGAATCAGAGCTGCCCTTGAAGAAGAACAATTAAGGAAAAAATGTTATATTTCAAATACAACGCTATCGTAAAATATATATGTTTACATTTTATTTAATTACAGCTTAGTTCCTTTTTGAGTTCTGTATCCAAAGGGTAAAAAAGAAACCCTAGTTAGATATGGTTCACTTTACAAACTTTGCTCTCTTACGTATTTTTTACACATTATAAATATCAGTTGCTGCTATAACAACAAAACACGGACAACAAAATACAATAAATGTTTGAGATTAGAGAGATATCAGTATATAGTAAGTTGAAATAACTAACGTAGCGGCGAGATTACGTCTCGCACTTAGCTGTTTCTTGTATTTAATTTATGTGAGCAATTTCGTTTGAACGAGTCGATTTGTAGATCATCCCATAAATCTATATTAATAGGTGCATTATATGCGTATAATAGACATATAATGTGCATACACAATTTATATATCACATATAGCAGTATATTGTAGGTAGAATGAAATTAACATTCAAAAAGTCAAAAGCTTCCAAAATAACAGACCTGTGCTCTAATGCGGACGCGATAAAGATGTAATCGCTAAAAAAAGCCGAGCTCATCATGGGCAAAGCGACCAGGAACATAAACAAAAGCTGGTATCTCCCGAACTGGCCCAATTCGTTTACCAAGACGTGGTCCAGATCTATCATCTTCTCTTCTTCAACTTCGTGTTTCTCAGTCATATCTTCTGGATTTTTTTTCTCTTCTGTCTATCTTACATATCGGTCTCACTGAACTATACTCAGTCTGCACTCACACTAAGACCTCGGATCACTGGAATTCTTAAGCAAGTTGACGTCCACTATCTCGGCTTGTGCTGTAGATAATAAATAAGTTATGTTACTTTTCTTTGTTCGTACAAGTCGAGAAATAAATTTTAACTATTCCTTCCTTTATGTGCAGTATCGGGTTACAATGTGATATTAAGTACGACAGAAGAATTAAAGATGTAATAAAATAATTTAAAAAATGGAAATTGTCTACTAAAGGTTTGAAAAAAATAAAAATATATATAGGCTAACTGATCCAGCAGATGCGATATGTATTATACTCTAAAATAATACGAACGTTATATTTTAATCTTAAAAGTGAAGGATTAACTTGATGGTAGGTGGTAGAATACTCCACCATATAACATCTCAACAAGATGGTAAAACTAACCAGAACCACAGACTGTCGAAACGCAAACAAATTTCAGGGCTTTTTATCTGTGTATCGGTGCTTCGGGCTCTAGGCGGAAGTTCGACATGTTTCAGTAAAAATATAAATTGATTGGAAACGTGTTGGCCACGGCGGGCATCGAACCCACGACACGTTTATTATTACCTATACATTGCTACCGTTGAGCCCCTCAAAGTGATCTTCAGATATTGTCAACACGCACAAACAAACAAAGCTATATCATCACAATCGATACGCACTCGAACGGGCTTACTCTCAACCTTATCCCGTCGCAAATGATCTCGAACGACAGAGATTATCTTATCATATTGACACGAATAACTACTTTCCTCGAGTCGTAACTGCCTCGCGACGGCTACCGTACCGTATTCGTATGCAATACGGAATATATATTTTACGGCACATACTTTTTACGGTTAAAATTACATCTAATAAAGGCTTTTCAATCTGATAGTGGCGCTTTGTAAAATTATTTTTACTATAATAAATGAAATCGTAATTACAAACGCATTATTTCATAAGTTTAATGACTTAGAATGCAAATTAGTCCTCGAATACTTTGACGACAAAACCCAGTGACTTAAATATTTTTAACGAAATAAGACACGACCGCACTAACAAAGCGTGGTGAACACTTTGCATTTCTGGCTAGTATCGAAATACCCATGTTAAACTATTTAACTTTCACAAACAAATAGACGTTTCACGATATCAGAACAGGTTTGACTGGTTTATCGAATTTAGAGACGCTCTGCAAAGTATTCTAACATTTACTCACTTGGCCTATTAGCCTATGTAGTCACCATCCGATACTAACGTTTTCACAAGTTGCCCACGGAGTTGGCTACTTCTCACTGATACGAGGATGGTACTGGTGGTATTAATGGAATTAAAGAGATTTCTTTTCAACGTACCTACATAAGATTGCCTTTCCTAAGTTTATTAAAATCGAAATTACATGATTGAAAACAAATCGATCGAGTTTAGTTTAAAGCCGGTTATGCGGCTTCTTTGCATTTTTGGTCATTGCATATAATTACAAAGGCAAACGACAAATCAATCGTCTAATATTGTTTGTTTTAACAAAGTCCCGCATTAAGAGCTTACAATATAATATGGTCGTGCCAATAGAATAAAACATCACTTGTCTAAAATACTTAAGTACCAATAAAATACCATACTTACATTCGACCATCGACATGAAATAATACAATACAATCTCGAGTAGTTACAAATTACTGCTTGTTCTCCAACTACTGAAGTAAGTACTCGTTATTGTCCTAAAATTACTTACATCATCCAATAGCAATATCGACCGACCCGACCACCTTAGCTCAACGTAAAGGTGGTCGGGGCTTTGAATACCGAATTGCTTGGATCGGACAAGGCCTAGTATCTCATCAACTTCTTCCTTGTAAAGAAAAGGACACAGAAATGTTACTTTGGATGACTTCATCAGTGACGTCAAAAGGCCTTATAAAATTTAGACACTATGCCGTACGGGGGAAATGGAATTTTACTTATCTCAGAATAATATCTCTAATATTACACTTTACATCTGCTGATATATAGTTACGAAATAATGGTGTTACGTAACATAACAAGAAATAATATCCTTAAGCTTATGAAATCAATTTGGCTAATATGAAAATGATAGCATTATTTTATTACATGAAGTGGTTTGGCACGAACTCAAACTACAACAACTATTATTATAAATGGTCGTGGCTTTGAGAGCAGGTAGGTATTGATATGCACGCAGTACTCGCGAAACTTATCACAACTAATTATAAACATAGGAATAAGTGTAATGAGAAGAACTCAACAAAAGCCCTAAAATTTACGCCTGCGTAAATGCAACGAGCAAGGCTTATTGATGTCATTAAAGCTAAATATATCTTACAGGGACATCTTTTCAAAGTACTTGTGAGGTATTTAGGTAGTGTTGTTATCCACATCATCTGCTGCGTATTTTTATATCACTTATTTACAACTTTAGCTTTAAGTTTTGATGGTATTTATTTATTATTATGAGGTGATGAAACGAACACGAAAGTCATTGGTTCATTGTTGTCATTCCTTCAGATGCTATACGTCGCCGTTCAATGGAATTTGAAAATAAATGATGCACCCGCAAAGGTTCTTCAAAAATAATATTTATTTTGGTTTATCTTAACAATACGACACATTTACAAGACTTTTTTCTCTCTAAAGAGAAACAAACATACAAAATCACGTACAAAGTAGAGCTATAGACTAGAAAAATATTGTATTAATGTAGTGAGGGAACAGACTCGTGTGGACGTTTTTAAGAAATATTTACTTGTTCCCTTCCCATCCGCTACATGGAGATCGCACCGCAGGTAGTTTAATTCGTACAATTTCCAATAAAGTTGGAAGTCTATTATTTATTTTCAGGCCACAAATCTATTTTTTCTAATCTTTTAACATTTGCAAACTACATTCTTAAAGTCATTTCATATTTGTTTATCAAGCATTAAATATATCAAATATACCCACTACGACGCAAAAGATAGCACTAGCGTAGCAGTTTTTACTTTAACATTTGAGACACCACTCCATCTTTAGTCTCCCCGTGACCACACCTGCTGCAAGGCCTCAGAAACGTCGGGCCGCAGTTGAAATAATTTGTGAATGAGTTCAACTAATATATTTCGCGTTTTAAGCGTAAAAGTTTTATTCATTGTATTGTAGTTTTATAACGATTGGAGCTTTTAATTTTACCTAATGATTTATAATAGACTTCTTGGTAACGTTATGCGTAGGCCGTTGCGGAAAAGAGAGACACTAATTTGATTCCTTTCACCGAATAAAGTACAGTACATTGAATATAAATCTATGCCTTATGAGCGACTAGTCCACGATGATATCTGTCGCTTTTTTAGATCGCGGTGCGATGGCTATCCCCTCCGCCTGCTTAACTGTGTCTGGCAACTGGATGTGCAGCGTTTCGGGTGTCAGCAGCATCAGCAAACCGGCTGCTGCTGCCATTATTCCAAAGAGGAGATACGGTAGAGACTCCATGTACTCCATCTGTAATGGTAATTGGTGAATCTTCAGTTCTAACGATTAGGAATATGAATCAATAACATCTGCACACTATTTGCATTATTCGCTATATTATCATCAAAATACAATCGTACGATTTAATAATTACATGATAGCAAATAATCTGTTGAAATTCAAATGATAGCGTAATCAACACAAATGTACTTTCATCTACTAATTACTTGTCAAGGTCTAAGTTTGAAACTGCTATTATGATAATGATTTCCGAAAGGAATGACAGAAGAATGTGAACAAAAATATCGAATCGGCTGCCCTTTTCTATATACCAAAGAATATAAAGGAAATATCCCTTACTAATTAGGGTAACGAGATACTAAATAATAACCAATTACCACGGTTAACAGACAAGAATAATCTAGCTAACTATCTGCAACTGTTAAAGTTACCAACTACGGCTCATTCTACTAGGTAAGCACGAGTTAGCCAACCAGCAAAGGCGTGAGCGGGGCCGTGGTGGATCCAATGCGACCGATCGCCGAACACACACTCATCATGGAGTGGCGCACTTGTGTGGGAAAAAGCTCTATTGTGTAGATGTAGATGGATGCGAACACCATGCTGATCGACAGCTTCCCGACCATGGTCAGAGCCGTCCTCTCTGGAAGCCCACGGGACGACTTTGAAACGTTCGGACTCTACTTGGTATTGTCAGCCTTTGTCCGCATGGAATAGTTATTTGAGACTTAACATTATTTATTTTTGTTTGCAAAAATAAGCAATATTAAATCCTCCTTTATAAAAGATAGCTGTTACCTACGACGTCGTCCGCGTCCCGTCCCATCGATCTTGCGCTATGTATATAATATCATTTAAATAAAACACTTTAACGGTTTAAAACGCGATATATTACGCCCCCCCCCCCAAAAAAACCCCCCCCCAACACCACAAAACCCCAGGGGGGGGGGGGGGGGGAAAGGGGGGGGGGGGGGGGGGGGGAAAAAGGGGGGGGGGGGGGGGGGGGGGGGGGGGGGGGGGGGGGGGCAAAGGGGGGGGAAAAAAAAAAAGGAAGGGGGGGGGGGGCGGGGAAAGGCCCCCCCCGGGGAGAAATTTTTTCAATTTATTTTCGATTTTTAAATTACGCGAATATTAGTTAAAATTATTTGAAAATGGTTTTTAACTTCGGCGTATTGAAATTTCACACACTGAAATTTCAATACGGACGGCCTCAAATTATCAAACACCTAGGATCCCATATTAAAAACTCTGGATCCCAATAAACAGCATACCGGCAAACGCGAAGACACCGTTAGTCAATTCTGTAAGGACCCGGCTAGTTTCGCCAAATACCAACTTCGAATTTTTTACTTCGACATCAGAGACATCCTCCATCTTTAGTCTCCCCGTGACCACGGCTGCTGCAAAGCATCCGAAACGTCGGACCGAAGTTAAAATTCATTTTTAAATAAATTTAACTAATATATCGCGTTTTAAACCGTTAAAGTGTTTTATTTAAATGTGTACTACTCGTGTATTTTGTATAATATCAATCGATATATTAAAAAGCCTCGATAAATGCTCTAGCCAACACAAAAATTTAACGCAATGCTAATAAATAGACACAACAGAAAAATTGTGAACGTTGTAATATAAAAACCTTCCTCTTGAATCACGCTCTCTATTAAAAAAAAACGCATCAAAATCCGATGCGTAGTTTTAATGATTTAAACGTACATAGGGACAAAAAACCGACTTTTCTTTATACTATATAGTGATGAGGTATTCGATCGCTTTCTAATGAGTGTTATAGATTTACCTCTATTATTTTCTTTTCTTAAAAACTAATTTGAGCAATAGTTATGTTTATAGTTTTTTTTACCCAACCAACTTACCAACAACGGGGTTTGTGGAGCTATTAATTGCCCGATCCTTCCCATCATTGAGCACAAGGCGACCATCATGTGACGGACGGACGTCGGGTACAACTCCGATGTATATATGTAGATACTACTGAATACCATACTTATAGCCAGCTTCCCCAACAAATTCAGGCAAGTCTGAAGCCACTGCAAATCTGAAATGAACACCTAACTACACTAGCATACTAAATTTCAAAACGTACCGTACGGTATCCATAGCTAAGGTACACCTATCTAACACTAGTACTACGTCTTCCGTAATAATAAAGTAAATAAAAATATCGATATATGGAAATGCCTTACGTGCTGGTATAAACGGAAGGCCGAAGAGCGCCATGCCACAGACGAAGAACGCCGTCATAATAGAAGCTTTCCGACCGAACCGGTCGAGGGTCAACACGCTGAGGCCGTATCCGGGAATCTCTATCAGAGCGGTCAGAAGATAGTTCACGTAGCTGTTTCCCCCGAGTGACACGGAGTTAATCGACAATCCATAGTATATGAACGTGACCGTGATCCACCAAAACGAACAGATGAACAGTCGGGATATTAGCACTCGCGATCTCAGCACTTGTAACGCGAGCGACTCTTTTTTTTCTTCAGTCTGTGGCACAGAGTCTTCTAAATGTATCGTTTCGTCTGTGAGCAGCTTGATAGTTTCCGGTGATAACTTCTTTTTGTTCATCTTCGCCGCTTTGAATATGATTCTTGCGGCCTCCTTCTTCTTTCCTTTGCTTAAGAGCCATCGCACGCTCTCTTCTATCAAAAAGCAGTATACGATGAAGACGAACGATGGGGCGTAGAGCACCCTAGTCAGGGTCCTCCATTCTGGGATGCCCCACGCTATCAAAGCTACTGTCGCTTGGCCGATAGCGAACGTACAAGATATTATGTTCCCGCCTAACACTCTGCGATTGATGCCGACCATTTCCAAAGCTGAAAGCCATCAGTTTCGAATGAAGAAAACGATAATATGTATATGTAATAGTCTGCAAGACAAAAGAACTGTACATAACAGCAACATACCAAGAATGAATCCAGAGCTGTAGACGCCGGAGCCAACGATGGCTTCTACGAGTTCGAGCACAACATACATAATGTAATTCGTGGAAAAGGATCGCGCGACGCCCACTATAGCTGGGGCGACTGCCGTCAATATGAAAGCGACGCGACGACCAAACCTGGAATAGTTCAAAAGGAAATGTTAAAGTTTGCACGCGTTATTGCTCGCACAGCCAGTGAAAAGTTACCTTCGTTTTATAAGCAAAACAGTCGAGAATATCAAATGAGTATGGTGAAGCTTTTCCATCAAACAGTTATATTTCTAGGTACCGCGTTTGTCAAGAACAGATAGATATTTCAAGTACTACGTGTACCACAAGCTTTTTCATTATATTTGTAAAAAAAACACCTACGTATCAGATATGTAAGCGGTAAGTGGCAGCGCAAAGAATATCCCGGCGCTGTGGATCGTTCCCACCAGAGTCCTCTTCCATTCTTCACAGGCCAGGTCGAACTATAATTATTACAACGATTGAATATTATTACCAAATCCTCAACGAAAGTTGTTATTAACGCCTTGCCGGTGTGCCGAATAGATTAACGAACGAATAAAATTTTAATAACTTTGTTATACTGAAATATGAGTTTTGTTAAACCAAGTTTAAATAAGTATTGTCTATAGTTTAGTAAAAGCTACAAAGCCGCTGGAACCGCCGGAACCGCTGAAGCCGAAACGTCGTAGTTTGAAATAGTAAAGTTTAACCTGAAGAAAGAAAAGTTCGGGTTTACAGTATCCGTAATTACGAAGAGGAAATACTAACGGTAGCAACAATCGAATTTTGATGCTCATAAATCCAGCTGTCGCAGCGCTCGGTCTCCGTCGGGTGGAAGGAGTCCGCCGTGCAATTGTCGCTCACGGCCACATATCGATTGCACCGCCCACCAGAGTCCGGCAATGCCCATGTGCCCCAACCGTTAGTCTCGAACCGCGGGGGGGTCGCCTCGCATTGTGGGACACGGCATCTGAAAGACATACCTAGTTTTAAAATCATTTGCGATTCTTATCTGAATGCAATCCCAGTCATTTAATATATTTTTGCCATAACAAAATATGCACTTAAATATTTTATTCGTATTATAACAAAAAAGAGCCGTTTGATAATACATTGAAAATAAACAATATACTAAACTAAGTACAGATTTCCAAACTGGTCGCAAATCAAAGCGTCAAATTGTACTTAATTTATTTTGATCGAGAATGAAGGAGGAAACTAGCTAAATCTTTGTTCTTATGCTTGAAGTAAGACTTCCTGTAGTCTTCGGAGGTCTGAGCCGAGGCCATATCAAATTAGACATGTTATCACCTACGATAGCCATCAGACAGTTGATCGCAACCATTGCGACACTCGACAGACGGTGTTTTTCAATTAGTTATTCCTGTGTTAGTCATTTTCGTGAGATGCGTTCAACTCCTCACGACAATGGTCTATAGGCATTCCTGGCAACATTGCATATTTATATATTACTTGAAACTCCTAGTAAAAATGTCTTGTCAGTTTACTATTCATTTTTAATAAAATAAACATTCATAGACATTTGTATCCTAGTGCAATTAAGAAATCGCAAATGGCAGCACCCAAAACCGATCCAAACCTTCCAAGATACCATACTAAATGCTTAGTTTGCGCTGACTAAAGCGCTAAATAGTTGCTAAATTGTCTTGTTTCGATTGTAGAGAAATTATTCTAATATCGGATATAATAGCTAGTACGTAGCGAGACGCAAAAAAATGTTTCAAAACAAAGAAACCGTAATTGATACTGAAAACAATATACTTTGCTAATGTTAACCGTTTTCAGGGAGGCCTGTTGTTGCTGTAGGGCCACCTAATATAGGATAAGTAAAATAATATTCTATGATGTTCCAGGTTCCTATTAAGAAGCTATTGAACGCGTAGAACATTATTTTACTTGTAAACTGAGTGATTTAGAAGGTGCGTTTATTAAAAAGATCTTTGATCGACTTCGTAATCCTTCTAATTCGCACACGAGTCGATAAGGGTCAATATCGAATATTAATATAGCTTTTCGCGATTAAACTAATACAGCCATAAATTTCCCGGCTTCATTATGACAAATGCGCGAACAAGATATCTACAATAGTTTTTATGTGGCAAGATTAGTGGTTTATGATTCAGTAGCAATTACTTGGGACACATCTTTTATAAACTGAATGCTCGATAGAAAAGGATTAGCTGATTGTCTACTTCCTCTTACATTTTTCGGCTTCGTCACCGAACTTCAACAGAGTAGGCTCTCAAATTGATCTGCATATATGCTTATTTTTTTGTTGACTAAATTGTATTATGAGAATTATTGATTACTTTTTAGTTTACTGTTTGATGTCGATTGTTTAAAAAAATATAAGTTAGCTATCAACTCGATAACCACGTCGAAACACTTAACTCAGTTTGTCTCTGTTTCCAACTACAATACTTTTAATGAATTTAAAATAATTTAAAACCTATTTATCCCTACAAAGCTCAACTGTTTAGTTTATTCTCTTTAAATGTCTTAAAAAATACAAAACTCCACCCGTAGAACATAAAGATACTTTTACAAATTACTTTTTAAAAATTACAATTATATTTTATAACTTCATGCGTTTTAATATTCATATTTCTGTAATAATAAAATCTAAATGACATTATCATTAACGCAAGTATGTCGAAGACTTTTTTGTACGCTTTTCTAGAAAATCGAGGTTTACAATTTTGAACAGAAATGTATAAATGATATCAAACTTGAAAAGTTCAAATGAATGAATTTCAATCTTACATAATATTAGTGGTGTTTAATAAACACTTTTCTACGAAGAGGAAGAATACAGGTACATATTTGTGGTCAAAAACAAATATGAATTTCTTGTCACTCGTAAAATAGAAGCTCTCTTCGGGATAATGAAACTATATATTTTTTTTAATTTTAAAGAGAATATTAGAGAAGTATATTTTATTTTATTTTGATTATAATGGCTGAAGACACGCCATATTTATTTCCACGAACCGATGAAGTTACTTATATTTTTTATAAAATATTAATTAATTACCTGTAAGGAACGCTCGCGGCTGCGAAGATGTACTGACTGTTGTATATAGCACCCAAAGCGATCGGGATCAAGATGAAGGCGTAGTTTTGGATCTGATATCTGCCGAACTGACCCAGCTCCTGAAGGACGGAGTCCAGGTTAAGAACCTTCTTCTCGGCCATGGCGAGTCGAGTGCGTGACACCGCGTACGGCGGCGACCGCAACTAGCCAACGCTGAATGCTCAATAGCAGATAAGCGGCCACTGACGAGATTCCTTCCCGCGCGAACCATCACGTGTTTTCGTTAATCTTTGAAGTTTTGCAATACTATTGTCCATTACCTGCGTCTGCTCCGCGTAGACGGTACTCCGCGATGCTGTACCAGAAGGTCAGATCTGTCTAAAAGGTCGATCGCCGCTTTCGTCCTCTTTTACCTACCCGGATACAGACCAGTTAAATGGACTTGGAACCGTGCCGTGGCCGTGGCATTCTTGACGCACGCTTAATTTCACCCTAGAGGACCCGAAGTTATGACGCCTACAAAACCTAAGGTTCGACTTATTAATGAATTTGAGCGGAGACAGTATGCTGGCAATTCAAGTTGAGGAAAGTTTATTTAGATATGAAAACGCTATTTCTTAACTAGGAAAATATTGAGATAAACCAAGTGTGTGCGAGAACACCTTATCTACCCGAATTTATTGTTATAGAAAGTACGTGTTTATGCAACAATTGAATATCAATCGAGTTCTGATCTGGTAACAGATAGCGCGTTTGCGTTTGATTGGAGTAAGAGTGTGTCTGCCCGTTTGATATGTTATATTTTTTACATGATTTGCCACGAAATAATATATAGTAAAATGTATTATTTTGCTATATTTCCGAAAGTTCACGTGACGTAAAGATTATAACAATTATTGGTTATTCAAATAGAGAGAGGAGCGAATTCGATTACCTATAGTGCAATCCACGCGCGTTGAAGATGTACTGGGTCTTGAAGAAGGCGTTGAATATGATAACAGGCAGAACAAAGCGATACACATGAAACTGGTAGCGACCGAACTGGCCGATCTCCCGCAGGATCTTGTCCAGCTCCACGTCGTGAGGTTTGCCCATTGTGACAAGTACAGATAGCCAGTTCTATTATAGCTCGGTGTCTCATTCACGGTATATTCCATTCTCCTCTCGAGTTCGGTTCATCGATTAATATTGTCGAAGTGATTGCCCACAGGCTTCGTGGTCAATCGCAGTCATGCACCGCATGATTAATATAAATATATAATAATAGTGAACTTTGACACGACGCTTAATGACATTGATATTTATTGTCTTTTCTCTTTCATGGTCACAGAAGTACGATTGTCGATAGCGCCATAGAACATTATGACAATTTTTCATTGAGTGAGATGCATCTCTATTAAATATATTTAAGTTATGTTGATTTATTAAATTCTTTTTCCAATTTCTTCTCTTTATAATATAACATTTATAGACAAAAAACAGCTATTATCTAATATAAGTATTTTAATGAGTTTTGAACCTACAATCAAGTATCTATAATATATATATGATACGATAAAACAGGTAAAGGTTGAATCAACTAAACCAGGGCTAGTCTCATCCATGTCACGTGTTTAAAATGAACGAAATATAAAAAGGATTTTCGTTTATTTTTTACATTATTATGAGAAAGGCTTTCAGTTAGCACTCGACATAAAAATGATCCACCGCCTAAGCGGTGTTGTGCAAGTATGTCATTCATTGTTAAGTCCACTCTAACTGATAAGGTATAGCGCTTAGTATCGTTCCTTGTTTAAACTGTTTGCCTTTATAAAAAAATAACTGACCTTTTTTTATACTTGAAAAACGTACAATTTAAATATAAATAACTTAAAATATTCGACAATGTTAGCTATTAACAATTATCTTAGGGAAAGATGCGAGTGACAAACGTAAAAATACGTAGCTACAGTCGGGTCAGAATAGTGGCTGAAAGATAACACGTAATCTAGATAAGATCAGTGGAAAAAATAGCTATTTATCCGTGGACATAAACATTAAACTAATCTCAAAAATTAACTATCAATATTCAGTTAGCCTTTTCCACCATTAATGCGTATTATCATTTCAATAGTGTTCGATTCTTTTTCTCGCTTTGAAGTTATTTTAGGTAAAATGGTATGAAACCTCAATATATGAATATGACTTTCGTGCTTCGGGAGATTGTGTTATCTTCGAAACAAATGCACTATTGCAAAAACGACATCTTCGGTCATGAAAATAATGAAATCCGAAAATATTACAGTTATTATTGTTTGGCTCGCCCATTTTTGAGCTCTGAAGAGTAACGATTGTCGAATATAAAGGAATGGTAAGATTAAAAAAACACCTTATCATCAATAGGCCTAAGTGATTGAGAAATAAGAACAACTGATAATCCAGTAGGTACTTATGATGTAAAGTGTCGGCTCGGATTTTTCTAAAGTTTTGATAAGGGATATAAAAACTCATATAAATTAATTAATATATCTAAACGTTTAAAAAGTAAGATCACGACCAAGAATGGTGGAAAATTGCTTAGCGTAGAAGTCTAGCGTGACGCATTTTCCAGGCCTCCCGTAGTACTAAATAGAATCGCAATTAGTGTTTCCAACACGTTCATCGCGGCAGATTAAAAATGGCGCTAACAACATAATTATCCATCACTAATTACCTTGAACACGTGGCGTCGACCACGCCCGCACAGTCGACTTCTACGCGGCTGTTTCGGCCGATAGAAATAAAAGACGTCGCTATGTAACGTAATAATTTTTATTTACATCAACACCGAACGCGAACATCTACATAAACGTGTAAGAACAACAGTTATAAACATATTTATATATCATATATATTTACAGATTACAAGTAAACACAACAGACTAGGCTACTAAGTTATCTGTCTATACTTTTTAACTTCAAGAGTTTCACGAAAGAAACAGCTCCGTGCGCTTATCGGACAATATATTGATTTCCCGTTCTTTAAATATACAGTGTGATCACATATACGTATCATAAGTTAATAAAAAAAACTTTAGCAATTGTGCATAACGGAAAGTCCCTTACTTACCCTTAGATAAACATTTTATATTTTTAGTTTTTAAACTTGCCACTTAAAATATATTGTTAGCTTCCACCGATCGGAATATCAGATTACGTACAAACGATCACCACACCACGTTACCGACTATATTCCATTGAAGATTAATTTCGTCCGAAATACACAAAATTGTGTTCTTTTGTCCATCTTTGATTGCTGTAAGAGTGTGCTTTTATAGCATCTAGTGAAAAAAAGTAGTTTTTGCTCTACGGCAGTGGGTTCTGTCCAAACGGAGTAAGTGCATTGATAAGGAACGGGATGTAGTTTCCAATCTCGCCTGGGTCTAAACACAGCGTCGTGCGACCCGACACTAAGAAGCTTTCAAAGCAATGTACCTAATAAATAATAATTATATATTTGCTCTAGCGAAGAGTAGCAATGGACGGCATGCGTAAACTGTATGGGAATGTAGCCGTCTTTACAAATTGGACAATCATCGAAAGAAAAGGTTGCCTTTTTCTAAACGCTTTCTTCTCCCGCTCTGTCTGTATGTCACTTTCGACCCAGTCAATTCATCTCTCACTACACACATTTCAAAGTCGATGGTTCGTATAATTTCAAAATTCAATAAATACGTATTTACAAAAGATAAGACACACGATCATTAAGTTCTTTAAAGTTCACGTTATTTGATTTCTTTATTATTATAATTTTTGACAATGACAACAATACGACCTTAAGAAGATTATTAATATTCAATGCTGAGAAGCTCAATGCCCCATAATTGGTGTTCAATGAAATGGTTCTCGTCGACAAGGGGTCATACAATTTTTCATGTATTAGGTTATTCGAATGTCGATTTATTGCGTCGTACATAAAAATAAAGAAAATAGTAATCATTGAAATAAATATATGTATAATAACGTTTTCAAAGCAATATTGAGTAATCATAGAATTAATTAATTTAGTATTTATTTGGATATTATGAATTGCATTATATTTAATTTTTGTTTTATCTTATCAACCGTCAGCATAATTAGTTGGTTTATAAATACTTCGTCAACGTGAATCGTCAATTTTAACGTCCTATTGGACGACATGAGAACACGCTTTCCATTTTTCGCGGACAAGGGGCGGATTCACACAATTCCTAGGCATCTCAGAGAACTTTTAAAAAAGCAAATATTTGTAGTTATAATTTTATTGTATGTGTCGTAATTTTCTTTTATCGCTAGATAAATTCATTAAATGGCTCAGAGCGCCCAAATTCTCTCAAAACAATTTGGAGACGATCGAACTATTTTTAAAAAGGCTGTTATCGTCTCAGCTAGTTTAGTCTTAAAGGATTACTTTTGGCTACGTTTACGTTTAAAAATCTCTCTAAATCGATACGTTTTTAAAGATACAACACCGAATGACGAACATTAGGAAGACCGAATGAAGTTTTTACATTAAGTACTTAAGCGTTGTTCAGTTATTTTTTACTAAATTGTGTAGCAGAATAGATATAATACGTTTTTTGAGACCGACGAAACATTTGCTAGATAAAGGAAAAAATTGACAATGGTCTGTCGCCCTAATTTGAATATACCAACAAAGCCCGGGTGTTCCCACAGCTGGGCACAATACAGTGACGCAATGGTTAAATTTGACTACCGATGCCTATTGTACTGACAAAATAGTGGTCGAGATTCATGCCATTAATAAATGTATACAGTTCAAAAATGACGACGGGCGCCGAAAGACATTAAATCTTAATCCTAGAGCGCTAAGTGTCGTTGTGGATACAACACGAGGTCCGAATAAACTTTCCCTTACGTAATAGTTAAGTTCACGTCTCACGACGGGTTTGGCAAGTTTCCACTTCGCGGGATTATCCCTGGAAAATAAAGACATCGGTTTAGCATTTACATTGCTCAGGTCTATACTAATCTCGTGAAGCAGAAGAGATCGTTTGTTTAAAGGCGCCAATCTCTGGAACTACTGGTTCGAATTGAAAAGTTCTTTGTTTTGGATAGACCTTTCAGTGGCTTGTAGGAAAGTAGAAACAGTAAAATTTGTTGAAATGTCTTGTTCAACTTCGAGAGCTTCCGTTTGCATCCGTTGCAAAAATATTTATTAAATAATGATTCCTCCTTTTACTCGTTAGATTCACTCGCAAGAACCGCGTTTATGATAATCATTTTTGGTCGAAAATAATGCATATTACTAATTATTTGTTAGAGTTAGGTAAATGTTTATACAACACATTTTAATATTTATCTACAACAAGACGACGTTTGCTAGATCAAATAGTATTTTCGCTTATGGTTTGATTCTATCTATCAAACAGTTTTTAAACCATGTCTTGCTGATAGCGCCATCTATGTATTCTACGATGAATCAGATAAAAACACTTCTGCAACAGACAATTAACGCATGCTACTATATCAAGTTCTGTATAACTAAATTGGGCAAATGCGTACCGGTCAGAGAGTAGGACAGAGCGGAGTGAGAGGATGCAGCGCGAGCGCGGCAGCAGCAGCGTCCGCGGCGGCCGCCGGCTCGCCGAGACCGGCCAACACGAGCGCTAGCTGCCTCCAGGTGTCCGCCCTCGCAGGCTCCAAAGCCCCGGCTTCCCTCAGAGTCCTCTCGGCCAGCCGCAGCCAGCCCAGCTCGTAATAGGCGCCCCCCAGCTGCACCATACTGTCTACGTGGGTGGGGTGTATCGCGAGGGCGTTCTGGTAACACTGTCTCGCCTCCTCCCACTCGCTGCACGCGCTGTGCACTCTACCGCGCTGTAATACAGAACCGAGATAGTATTCGGATCGTTCTGTCAAACTGTAGCATTTTCAGCTCTATATGACGTCGGTGTACCGTGTATAGGACGAGGTGACTGAACGGCGTGAGGGCAGCCGCCTCGGACACGCAGCCTGCCGCCGCACTCCACCTGCCGAGCCTGAATTCGAAGCGAAGCAATTCCGTCGTTATTAAATCTGTTGTTTAAACCATTTACCACGACATATAGGATCTTATGTTGGCGTACCTGAGGCAAAGGTCGGCCAGCAAGAGCCACGCGTGCGCGCGGTGCTCGGCGAGGGGGGAGCGGGCGCGCTGCACCGACAGCGTCGACGCGTTCTCCGACAGAGCTCGCTCCAAGCGGTACGCCCCGGCCGACTCGGCCCGAACCGACGCTGAAACGTTAAAGTGGGCTCAATCTATACTTAATATATAAAGCTGAAGAGTTTGTTTGTTTGTTTGAACGCGCTAATCTCAGGAAGTACTGATTCGAATTGAAAATTTCTGTTGTGTTGGTTAGAGTAATTATCGAGGAAGGTCATAGGCTATAAAACATCGCGCTGTGACTAATGAGAACGAAGAAACAGGGAGAAAAGATATTTCCTTGTGGGCTTCCGTTGCATACACTATGAACACGGTTTAAGATACCAAAAAAAACATTTATGTAAGAATTAATTTTGATTGTCTTCAAATAATCTCAAAATAGTCTGTGTCACTACATCTCGATGTTATAAGATTTACTTGCAAGAACGACGGGACGCGGAACACGTCGTGGATAACAGCTTAAAAAAAGAAGAAGTTTGCAAAAACAAATTTGATGCTGATGAAGCCATTCGGCAGTAGCGACGTGGTTGGAAAGTTACCAGCATCGCGGTTGCTGTGCACCTCATCGCGCAGAGAGTCGGAGAGAGCGTCCAGGTCGGCGTAGTGATGCTCCCCGTCGGCGTCTTCGGCGCTGTTCAGCAGCCGAAGCAGTTCCTTGCCCGTGGCGAGCGCCGACTACGAGTACAAAATGTTAAACTTTAGTAATCGAAGAAAAATGTGTTTTATCATCCCCGGGAAAATTGTATTATAAATATACGTAATGTTACCACTGTACTAGCATTGGTAGTACACTTACCTCTCCGCTCTCCCACAGGAGTTGCAAAGCGGCGAGCGTCCACAGGGGCCACTCTGCGTTAGGATAGTGATGGCGCGCGAGACGCGCAGCGTTCAACGCGCGTGTACCGCGCGGTCCGGCCGCCGCACACGACCACAATGACGCTGCCAGTCGCAGACCACCGCCGCACTCCGCGCGACAAGAAAGACAGGCCCTCGTTGCGTCCTGACGATAGAAAATATTACAAAGATTACGTTAAATTAAAAAAAAAGGTGCACTTCTGTAATCGGTTCCGTCGAAGTAGCCATGAATATCGATCGACGGACGGAGTAGTCGAATGTTATTTACGCGGCTACGTGTAATTTTAAAGACGCCTTTGTCTAATTGTATTTTTGGTTTTAATAAATAAGTATTTGCTTCTCAAAAATGAGAAGTAAAATGTATTATGATTAATAGATTATTTGATATAGATAGTAGTATCGTCACCATGGCCTCGTTAAGCATCCCCAGCTGCATGTACTGCAACGCTAGGTGGTAGAAGGCGAGGTGGTCGTTGTCGTCCAGCTGCACGCTCTGCACCAAGTACTTCAGACTGATGTCGTTCTCCGCCTCCTTTTCGATGCGGGAATTGGTTTTCTGTGGCATCGTATCATTAAAAAAACTTTATTCACTTTAACAATTAACTTTTTTACTCAAGTATGTAAAAGTAACTACTTTTCGTTATATTGTTAAATTTATATTGATCGAGGACTCGCCTGTGCCTTCATCTGGTGACCGATGGCGCAATGTACGTAGCATCTCGCCAGAAAGGGGCTCCGCTCCTCGGACTTCGCTGCGCTCAGGGCCTGCTCGGCGAATTGGATGCCCTCCTCTATCTATGCATTAAACACTATATTAAACAATTACTACACTTATTTAAACTTAAAACAGGCAAAGAAGTGAAAAGCCTCCTTAAACTGATAGGATATGTTTATTTTTCAGTAATGACAACTTATTTTATTCATGATGATATTCGATTGGTAAAAAAACCACTTATGATGCTGAATGAAAATAAAATCTCTACTAAAACATGATTGATGTACGTAGTTGATTTTAACAATTGAAGAGTATTAAAGGTCAATAGATGAAAGTGTATGGAAGCTGACCCATCCCGCCCTGTAGCAGGTGTTGGCGGCGACGAGGCGCAGCGGCACGTCCTTGGGCACGAGCGGCGTCGCGCGGCGAGCCACGTTCAAGGCCCGCACGTGCGCGTTCCACGACGGACTGCCTGTGTCGACATACAGATAGTCATTAGCTTAAACACTTCAATATATAAAAGGTTTGGTTAGCTCACCTTGGGCAGGAGGCGGCTGAGCCAGTAGGGCCAACCCTGGCTCGTGCCTCGGCGCAGCTGCGGTGGCCAGCGCCCTCTGCCTCCATATGTGGGCACATCCGAACGAAAACTTCATAGCGCGCTCCAGAGACTGAAATTGTTAATACTCATTGTCAAGAAATATTTCTAAGTATTTAAATAAAGCTCAGAGAGCCAGTTCATTAGTAAACACTAGAACTAGTTTTTAATTTTGGTTCTACAGAGCTCACTCCACAACAAATAAATAATAATAATGATTTGTATGAAGTGAAGTGAGGAGTGTTTTATTTAAATGTGTACTACTCGCGTAAACTATAGACAGTATTTAAAAGAATAAAAGCTCGTTGAAATACATAAAGCTTTTTAGAGGTCTAAGATACTACAGAGAGTGGAAACTTCACTTTGAAGTCTCGCCAATAAATAAATAATAATAAAAACGGAAATGACCTCTAAAACTAGAGGCAGCTGTCCCCAACGCGTGGCCGCCAGCGCCAAGAGATCAATGAGCGCCACGGCGTTCTGCAAGGAGTGCGCTCGCGCAGCCTCGAACTCTCCGCTCTGCGACAGCACCGCGTCGCGCACCGCCATCGCTTCCCCCACCACCAGCACCAGCACCACTTCCTCGTACTCGTTGCGAGGCACGAACTGAAGCGGGAAACATTTATCTTCTTGATTACTCTAAACGCACGTATTAATCTCAAAGACCAATAACAATTTATTTAACTTACAGTCAAATAGTTGGAGACTAATATAACATACCTGATTAAATGCAGCATATTTCTTAGGTTTCCAGGGTCCCTCGGAGATGTGCTCCTCTCGTCTCCTCGTCAGTGTGCCCGCAGCTGGAATCAGGCCCTGTGGAGCTCTGTACACCTGCCAATTGACAAACTGCGTTATGGATCCTGGAGAATTGCTTTGCACTGTAACACAAAATGAACTCACCTGACCCGTGACACCTCTCATGAGCACCTCGGCAAGTTGTCTGGCCAATGTCAGTCTGAGGGCCTGCGTGGACACCGACTCTACAGCTGTCAGCATTTCTCGATATCTATTGTGCATTGTATTCAATGTTACACGGTTATATATGCTCAAGATACTCTTTCTACTTTTGAATTACAGATATTGAAGATTAGTTTAGATTCTGTGCACCTGTCAATGGCATTAGCCAGTCGTCCAGCGCGTATATGAAGTAAAGGTGCCCGTTGCAGCGCAGTCTCGAGTGTGGCGCCAGCGCGCGCAGCGGAGGCTCGCTGTAAGTAGAGCAGTGTTAGCTCTGAGGCTAACTCAAAGCTCCGAATCTGAAATAATTTTCCAAAGTGACATATTTCATCATAAATCTTTTGTTTAAATATGCTGGTCCATTTCTTGTATCTTAATTCTTGTTTCTTTGGAGTCAAATATGAATTTAAAATGAAGCAAGAATTATTGTAGGCTAAGGTAAGGAAACAATCGCCCATAAAACACCTTTTAGCCACATTAAAAAGATAATCAATCACCAATTCAGCTTCCCATTCCGCTTGTTTAAATTTGCTGGTGGATGCTGGTAACACTGTCTGCTCCAAACAGAGTCCCTTGATTGCATAAGACTCTGCAACTATTCTGAGACTCCTTCTGGAAAATTGAATAAAATATTAATAATCACATTTTTACTCCACTTCATAAATCTGTCCTCAGCAAGTGCAGTGTTGTAATATTTATATGATAAAAACAACTGTTGGTAAATGGTGACCATAATATCATATTATTAAATAAAGCAATGTGATCACAAATAAGAATTGTATTATATGTTGGGAGGAGAGTATGCATTACTTCATACACAAATGTACTTGCACGATGAAATGAGTCATTCCTTTGGCATTAGTCCTTATTAATCATCACTTCTTGCAGTTCACACAAGAACTTTGTGGTACCTACGCCTAGAAGCATATATGAATATACTTTCAAGGTGGGTCTAATTAAATGATATATCAATATGCCTAATAAGGTGCTATACAATATTATAGAAAGAATAAGTTACTTACACGGGCAGCTCTTTCTCAGTCAAAGTATTCAACTCGGCCAATTTGTAATGTTTTAAAGCCTCATCGTATGAGCCACAAGCAAAATGCAGCTTTCCCAGCAATAGGTGAGCATCTAACGCAACTCCAGCTTTCTTTCCAGCATCGTCTGTTGCTAATGTCAAGTAGCCTTTAGACTCTGAGAGCTCCCTCTGTGCTCTTTCAATGTTCTCTTTAATAGGTGGCCATTCTTCAAGATAAGCTTCTAATTTCCCCTCCCCAATCAAGAAATGCGCAAGACTCTCTAAAATACAATCACAAGTTCGTTACGTTAATCACAAGTTTGGTAATAATATTAAGTCTATTATTTAAACAACAAAATCCATTTGTAAAAGTCATAAGTCTCGGAAGGATGATGTTTAGCCCAAATTTTAATGTTATTACATTATTGTTTTATGATCACATAATTTGCAAAAGCTAATTAATACTGTTTAGCGGTAAATAGGTATTGTGTTGTGCATGGTCAAAAATTAAAGGTAGTTAAAAGAGTTTTGCAAAATTATTTACCGTGTTGTGGTGACCTGGCCTTGAGTTGTTGAGCTAACTCCACAGCCTTCTTCCAGTTTGACTCCTCACGGCTCTTTTCGATGTCAGTCTCGTAACTTCGAACCGCGTTCTTACTTCTCGATGTCATTTTAATGCAAGCTTAAGTAGTATATATCACAGCATTTATTCAGTACCTATTTATCATTTCAGTGAAACATTGCAAAACCTTCGCTAGCGCAAAAAATCACAGTAGTTACAGAACTGAGCCAATTGACATTCAACTTTGAGAATTAACATTCAGAGTTGTGACAGTTGTAGACTACTCCAAAAAATCTATAACCTACACGTCTCAGCACAGACTTAAAAAGAAAAATGTCTTCGTCATATAATACTCCATTTTTAACGGATGTTTATTATAATTAGGTAATATATTTGTTGTTTTTCTTGTTACCCATAATAAGATTATATGTTTAGCTATTCGTAATATTTTACGATATTTTTCATTATCTATATCAGCACTTTTTGAGGAAGTAGCGCCATCTAGCTTTAACGTAGGTAACGTTGAAGCTAGATGACACTACTTACTTTGCGATTTATAAACAATATAAGCATATTATATTTAAAACCCGCATATAATTTTATTATATTATTTCTCTCGATAGCTAGCAATGGTTAGGTTAAAAGGATATACAAATACTAATGCGTTGCTAACTCAATCATCTTTAATTAATTGGTTTAAAATATATTAACAAATACAAAGCGGAACCGTAATGCATCGCATTGTATTCATTATTCAATTTTAATATGATAATAGTTCAAGAATTCAATTAGTCAACTTTGGCATAACAATCTTCGATTTAAATTAAATTATGAAACTTAAAGAATAAACACAAAGAAATCTATAAATAGCTTAATAACTTCCCGGTGACTTGAAGCGACGTCGCAAGGCGGCACTAGGCTGTGACAGACACTGTTACCGATTACTACATTACGTCTGACCTTGAGGATTAACTCCAAAAACATTAACGCTCCCTTTTACAAATTGAAACAGGGTCTACTATTGGATACGTTAAGGTTTATTTACGTTATAGCGAACCTTAGAACCATCCTAAGAATTATAATGCTTCTATGCCACTAGATAGTGGCACATATATAACTCCCCATAATTGTCATATACAATGTACGGGTAAATTCCAACTTCTTAAATCGCTGTAATAATTTATTGCCTACCCGGAATCCCTTATATATTTTTTTTCCAATTATGACGAGAAGTTTGCCACTTCACAATATTTACTTTATAATAAAAGACATCTCGGTATATACCTCGTAAATCTAGTATAATTGGCATAGCCTCGATAAATACAGACTGTATTTATTTAAAGCTAGGTAAGTACGCTCTTTGCGTGAACATTATGATGCTAGAGCCAGTCATAATCGGATTACATTAAGAATACGCAGCGCGTCGCACTACGACAAAACTGCCCCTCATTAAAGATGCTACAGTTGTCACATAACGCAACCAGCTAGAGGCAGCCGAGGAAATGAAGCCAATTCGGACTATAGTTTACACCATACATTCATAGACTAGAACATGTTAATTTTAGATATTCCTCGTATACTAGACACGAGGAATGGCCACGTAGCAAGAAACTTAACTAACTAGCGCTTAGTCTACTTTTTGTTCCAAATCGTAGTTTCTTAATATTACATCTGTGTGTAATATAAGCCACGCTGCTCAATAGGACTCTCGGAATATTGTCTTTCACCAAGGATTTTTTTGTTGTAAAATAAGCAAAAATATATGCTGGCTACTAGCGGAAAGTGCAGTATACAACATTTTCTCGTATTTTTTCTCTCTCGTAACTATGTACGTAATTCAGCCAAAACTATACTTTTAAATGACCATACGTTATGATACCGAGTTTACGAAACAAACGCCGCCTCTGAATATTGAAGTAGCTCGATAATATTAAACGGTTTCCGAGTGGACGGAAAATCGAAAAATGTTTATTTTCATTGGTCTGTATCCGGCGCGCGAGGGTAAACTCGTTACTTTATAATTTCCGCTACGCCCTTCATAACGCGAACTCACTTTATATCTAAGGAACGTACATAGCTAGCCAGGTAGGTATAGTGTGTTTCTTTCGATCTCATATCTTGAGTGGATCATTGCAAGGTATGTGACGAGAGATCCTTTGTATTTCTTTATTGTTATAAAAGCTACATATTTCAGAGATATTTCCCTAATGAATAGACTTTAATCAAACGACACTTTAGTAATATAAAAACTGAAAATTTCCTGATCGCCCGACGCTGCGATGTATAATCCGGAGCAAAGTGGAAAATAAGTTGGTCCAATATGTAAAAGTGAAGCCAAAGTCAATAACGAATGTGTGAAGCCTCCCGAAGCGCATCAATCGCTAGGTGAGGGCGAGGCGAGCCACCCGGCGTGAGGGGTGCGGCGGGGGCGAGAACACACCCCGTTACTGTAAAACGAACCAGCATCGACTTATAGCATCCGTACACCTGCAAAAGTGTGAGTGGAGTAGGGCTTTCACACTTTTAAATGCAGGTTAAGTACTGTTTTAAACAAAACACTTTAAATAATTTAAGCTTTATCTGTATAAATCAGTTCATTTTTAAACTAAAGTTTCGACTGTTTTACTGTAGCCGCGGTTGCAGCACAACCGGGACAAAAGGGCGACTATTTGCTCACAATTTTCTGTTTTATATAAATGTAATAAATTATATTGATTGAATATAAATTATTCACTTTAAAGTGCGCAGCCCTGTAGTGGCGGTGGGGGGCCGGGGATGAATGACGTAGGTCAATGTCGGGCCGGCACAGCGGCCGCCCCGCACCGGCAAATTGGTTTACGACTCTTCAAATTGCAACATTCATTAATTATATCGCTCGAGATCAATTCTATGTGTGATTTGAAAGGTAGTATTCGGAGGTCACTACGAAGCGGTGATAGACTAAGCAACGCAAGCTTTAATCTACCTAAATTTCGCGGTTTTACTGGCATTTAAGCCTATGAGAAAAATAAAATATCCCACACGACTGAATCATTTCATTTTTAAAGATTTATGAAATTGTATACGTCTTCCGTTAACTTCTACGACCTACGATCGGTATGCAGTTAAGTGTTCCCTTATTATCTTAAATTAGAAAGGCACCGTTTACTACTCACTACGAGGGACTAAGTTTCTGGGTTATTAAAGACTTACCATTAAATACCGCATCATAAATATCTTATAATCTCCAACTCTCCGCTCTGTTGCATTGTAGAACAGAACCACTTTTAGTAACAATATATCGCTAGATGAGAAATACGTCTAAGATGATTAAAAAAAAACCTATATCTTTGCAATGACAACATAATAACACAAATGAGGTAATCGCTACGAATGTTCTACGCCGTTTGCTACGAAGGGGAAGATTCTATGTAGTCAATCTGTTGATATGTGACAAATGATAGGTATATTCTACCTATTTATTATAAACGACAGATAGCTAATGCGCTATCATACTTTTTATTGATAAAAGCCAAGAATTTGGCTAGACTTGCTCCTATTGAGCAAATTGTAGGTAGTAAGACTTTGGAAGAGATTCCAAATAATAATATTTATTTAAATTAAACTCTAAGACAACAGAGTCTCAGACCTCTGGCATAAAAGAAAAACTGAATAATTTATACAAAACCAGTGATTTGAAACTAATGCATCAGAATATTCAAGGTATTAAAAATAAGGAACTTGAAATTGAATTATTACTTAATAATGATCAAATTGATATTCTGTGTATAACAGAACACTGGTTAAAGAAACATGAAGTCATATTCAACTATTGTAAACACAAAGTAGGTAGTTCTTTCTGCAGAGAAAATGCACAGCGAGGAGGCTCATTAATTTTTATTAGCAAACATTTAAAATATAAGGAAAGGAAAGATATAGTGAGTCTATCTGTGGAACGAATTATTGAGCTTTCTTGTATAGAGCTAGAGCAATTTATAGTTGTTAGTTTGTATAGTCCTCCATCGGCTAATTATAATTATTTAGAAAAAAAACTAGAAGAAATTTTGTTTAAATTACAAAGATTAAATAAAAAAATCATTGTCTGTGGAGACTTTAATATTAATTTGCTAGATGATCACTGCCGTTCATCTTTACATTTGCTGAATCTGTTTAAATCATTTAACTTATGTAATCATTTTAATGAGCCAACAAGAGTTACGCCTACCACGGCAACTTGTATAGACAATATCTTCAGTGATATTTTACCAGTAAGTACTTGTATTGTTAACAAGCTTACATCTGATCACTCTGGTCAGTTGTTTACTTTTAAAAATAATAAGAACAAAGTTTATAAAAAGAAGATATGTACTGTCCCAGTTACAGCTGAACGAATAGATAGATTTAGAAATAGATTAATAAGCAGTCTCCCATTTTTGTGTGACAACAGGTGCCCTAATAATTTATATGGTGTATTTTTTGGTTCATTTATTGATGAATTTAAAAATGTATTTTTACCGAAGACTTTTTTGGTCTCTGAAAAATTAATCTTTTGTGACTGGGCCACTGAGGAGTTGCACAAAAAAAGGAGAAAATTGTATGAACTGTATGAGGAAAAGCAGTACAATAATAGTGAAGAGTTTAAAAGTTATGTCAGGATGTTTTCCAATAATTTTAAAAAAGAATGTCGCTCGGCTAAGTCGCAATATTTAAGTTTAAAAATAAAGAACAGCTCTGATAAGGTAAAAGCCACTTGGAAAATGATAAACGAGGAGACGGGACGGATTACACATAAAGTTTTAGATTACAAATTAAAAGTCGATGGTAAAGTAATCAGCTCAGGGCTCGAGGTGGCTTCTGCTTTTGAAAAGTTCTTTACCGACATTCCTCTAAATATAACTAAAACTTTAAAATCTTCATCCTCTGCCGCCCTTCAATTATTAGAAATGTATGTACCAAAATGTAATAGTAGATTCAGCTTCAGTTATGTTAATAGAAATGATATTATGAAAACTTTAAAATTACTCAAAGTAAAAAAATCTAAAGATATCTGGGGTGTATCAACAATGGTTTTACAGTCAGTAATTGACATTGTTGGTTCAGAATTGGCTATTATATTTAATAGATGTATCG